AGCTCATCCCGGAACTGCACCCCCTTCTCCAACTTCCCCACGCTACTGCACGTCCCCGCCACCCCGCTCACGACCTGGCGCGCATACGCAATCCCCCAGGTAAACGAGGAGTCGCTCACGCCCGCGAACCGCGCCGCTTTCTCGAGGACGAGGTAGTCGACGAGAGCTTGCTGGTCCCACGTCAACGCCTCTAGGGCCGCTTTATCCGCGCCGGACAGTAAATCCCCTTTCGCTACGACGGTAGCGGGGGGAGACAGTTTCGCGGCTTCGATGGCGAAGAGGTCGAGGGATGTTGTGTTACCCGACGCTGCGTAGATTGTGCGGATTGGACCCTCTGCGATGAAAGCTAGGTAGGACGCTGTCTGTTCTTCGAAACTGGTATACCCGACGTTGACGGCGTCGATCTCGGTGCGGAAGTGGAGGCCGATGAAAGAGGAGTTTGAGACGCCGTGGTGGGGGAGGGGGGGGAGGGAGAAGCGCGTTAGGAGGGAGGTGAGGATGGAGGAGGCGAGGTGTTGGGTGTCGGGGCGGAATTCGACGAGGCGCCCGAAGTTGGCGACGAAGGGAGGGGGGTCGGCACAGACGGGTCTGAGGGGGGGGTTAGTTTGTGCTCTGGTAAGGTTTTTTTGGGGGGGGAGGGGGAGAACGTACGTCTGTCCTGTTATCCGTGGCATTGTGATAACTGTGATTTTATCCCGCGCCTGGCGATTCAACGCCGCCCACGCCGTGAATGAGAGTTGTACACCCTGCTCCTTAGGTAAGTCCCACGGCCTATCTACCTTCGCTATCTCTCCGACTCGCTCAACCTCTGCTAGGTCGTTGTAGATAGGCATATGCGGGCATGCAGAGCGTAGTCGCGCGTCGAACAGCTCCAGGTTGAAGAGGTACGACATATTGTGCACCGGCCCGTTCTGGTATTCTATCAGCCCCTCAGAGCGCAGCATGATATCTGGGCGGATCAGCGAGGCGCCGATTTCGATGGCCTGGCGCACGCAGACGAGGAATTCCTGGCGGACGTTGCCTGCGGGGAATTGGTTAGCTGGGAGCTATATCTGGGGGTGACTGGGGGAGCATACCGACTCCGCCGACGCGAGCTGCGCAGTTAACCACGACATTCCGACTATCCGCCCACGACGTATTGGCGCACATCTCCCGTATAGGCGTCTCATCATACTCCGAGAGCACAATCTCATCCGGTCTCAACTCCCCAGTCCCCGTCTTCGGCGTGTATTCCTCCTGCGCCGGCACCAGCGACGGCTTCGTCACCACATCCTTTGGAGCTGCATCCTTCACCTCACTCCCATCCTGAACTGCACCTCCATCCTGAAACGACGGGACAAGCCTTACATGCTCCCCACCGGACCATAACCAGTACGACGCGCACAGGAAGAAGGAGATGAATAGGATCAGCGCGAGGGTGACGCAGCGCCGCCGTTGCTCGAGGCCCGGATACATGGCGTCGTCGCGGACACAGCGGGAGCTTGGGTGCGCGCGGGCATGCCAAGTGTTTTTTTTGTAGGGCGTTTTAGTGTGTTGGTGGTGGTGTGGTGGTGGTGTGGTAGTGCACTGGCGCTGTGGTTATAGTAGGGTGGTATGATATAAGGGACCCGGGAACAGGGCTTGGGTGGGTGGTGTTGGGTTGGGGCCCGGTGGTGGTGTGGTGGTTTGCGGGAGATGGATGGGCCGGCTGGGCGTGTTGGTAGGGCTGGACTGGGTTGGTCTGTCGCGCGGTAAGGTACAGTAGGAGAGGAAGGACGGCGGGTAGTGACAGCAGTAGTGGCAGTAGTAGTGACAGTAGTAGTGAGGTAGTGAGTTCTCTCCGATGGGATTTGGGGTATTTGGGGGTAAGATTATTAGAGAAGAGTGCACGCTGGCGGCAACGTTAGCTATAGAGTTTGTGCTGATCTGATTACGCGTCCTTTTTCCAACACTTTTTGTTGATCCCCCCCCTTTTGTGTACGACACTTTAGTTCAGTTCAGCTAGCCATCTTTTTTTCCTCGTATGGGATGGACCCCCCAACCCCTAATTATAATTAGACCAGGCACGGAATACGATACGGGCGGAGCAGCGGGGAGATACAAGTGTTCAGTATGTCAGCAAAGGAGATAAGAAGGTACAGTAAGCAGTAAGCGAGTCTCACTACGGCGGTAAAGGGGGGTGGCAGGGTTCGGAATAGCCTCATTCTTCAGCATTGTATGTGTATAGTATATATAGATATGTATAAATATTATAGATTAGAGTATTATAGAGTAAATAAACCGTTTAGAGATGTCGAGGCATGACGTTGTTGGAAAGTCGATTAGGTGTATCGGGACCAATGCTTGGTACGTTGGTTACGTTGGTTACGTTGGCCCGAAGTGACCCTATTTTGATCCTAAGTGATCTCATTGATGCCAAGTGGAGCTAACTCATCCTGGGTCATCCTAGTCGATCCTAGGTAATCCCATTTAACTCAGCCACACTAACCCTAATCGATCCCATCTGATCCTTCGTGGACGCTAGTGCCAAAAATGTGACAGGGGGAGGGGTGACAGGATGAAGGCAGGAGGAAGACAGGACAAAGACACCTGTCCCAGGCACCAACTAACACATTTACTAGGACACCCTCAGGCACCAACTTACACCCTTTAACCACTAAATAATACCCATCCAGCTATCCACTACACTACAACCCAATATTAGAGTAACACACTTCACAAATCAACCATGCACAGATAAGTACCCTCCGTACCCACACGCCCTCCATCCACACCCATTTCCTCCCTCTCTTGCCCTGCATCTCACCCATCCACCCACCGCCCACCAAGTCCCTCTACTTCCCCCCCTATGCGCTTTGTTGGCTACTACCTAATAATGACCTACCCGCCTATTAATTACCCCCTACCACCACGAAACACACACACACACACCCTCTAAGCTGGCTCACTCGCGACTGACCGACCACTGGCTACTTTTTCGCATTTCCATTGCTGACACCTTTACCATCGTCGCTCTTTTCTTTCCTTTTCCATCGCCATGTCGTCGCTCTGAGAAGGGGATTCAACTCAGCTTCATATCCTACAAAACAAACGCTACTACATGACACCCTGACACCGATAATCGAACCCCTACACTTACCTGTCATTCACCCACCTACCTCAAGCTTGCTGATCACTACCCGAGCCCCCCCGGATTCCAGGAGGACCCCTTCAACCACAACTCCCCCCTCACGACCACCACCTCGACCTACCTACCTACCTCTCCTCAACCACAGTAGTCTCGCACTCACCCACTCGTCGCCCACGATGTCTAAATCCTGGCTCTCCGAAGCCGCCAACCTCCAGCTCCCCAGCGCCGCCCAGAGCACCAAACAATACATCTCGCAGTGGATACACAACAAGCGCTTCCTCCGCCTCGTCGCTGCCTCCTTCACCTTCCTCGTCATCGGCCTTCTCTACTACAACACCCTCACCGGCACCGTCCCCGCCCTCGTCCCCTCCTCCAGCATCATCACCCCTCCGGCCCCAGCAGCCTCCGCCGCGCCCGCCGCGCCGCCCGTGCCAGCGGGGCCAAAATACGCGTTCGCGACGCTCCTGTCGCCCAACTACCTCAAGGACGTCGACCAAACCGACATCGCGAGCGATGAATACTTCCTCTCCACGCGCGTGCTGAACTACCAGCTCCGCACCTCGAACCACACCAAGTACGCCGACAAGAACGTCCCCTTCCTCGTCATGTGCCCCCCCAACGTCGCGCAGAACAAGCGCGACATCCTCGCCGCGGAGGGCGCGACCATCGTCCCCGTCCCGCATATCATGGCGGATTGGATCAAGGTCCCGCTGCCGACGTGGGTGGAGATGCTGGATAAACTGCTGCTGTGGTCGTATACCGATTATGAGAAGATCCTGTACCTCGATGCGGATGTGTATCTTGTTGAGTCGCTGAATGGGATTTTTGAGGACGCGGCGGCGCAGGATCATGAGGTTAGCGTGGAGAAGACGCATGAGAATGATGTGGGCAAGCTGCCGAAGAAGTATACCCTCGCCGGCGTGGTCGATGGAGGGTCGGGAAGCCGCGAGAATCCTATGAGTGCGAACTACATGAACGCGGGATTCTTCCTCATCAGCCCGGATAAAATGCTCTACGACCACCTCATGGCGTTCGTGGATCGCCCAGACAGCTTCTCAGTCAGCATGATGGAGCAGAACCTCATCAACGACGTGTTCAAGCAGGACGGCCCGATGCCGTGGCAGAAGATGGATCCGAAGTGGGATACGTCGTGCCCGGAGCCGGAGGATGTGAAGAAGGGGTATAAGACTATTCACAGTAAGCTGTGGAAGGTGAAGGCGTCGCCGTGTGATATTGATCCGGTTATTGGGCGCATGTGGTATAAGACCCTTGGACACATGGAGTCGCATTATGCGCAGATTCCGTTGAGATGAGAGGGGATTGGGGGTGTGGTTGATCTTTAAAAGTTATCAAGTGATACTGGGGGAGGCGTGCGTGGGAGTGGGGAAGGTGAACGCGCGTCGGGGCGGGAGGGGGATGGGGAGGGGGAGATAAAACAATTAATTTGGACGCGCGCGCGGTTGTACGATTATCTTTGGGGAAAGGGGGTTGGAGGAAAGAGATGAGCAATGAGCGCAGCGAGCGAGCGAGCGAGGCAAAGCAAAGGCGTATATTTCCATCATCAAGAGTCTGGCGTCGGCGAGCGGTCTTTCTTACCAAATTTGAGATTTTTCTTTTTCTACCACAGATGGGCGGCATTGGCGAAGCAAAGCTGCGGAGATACACGATGTTTATGTAGACGTATGTAGGTCAATTCTAGATGTGAACGGAGAGAGAGTTTGTAGACTGCTGCTGTTGTTGTTGCTGGTGATCTAATTGTGCCGGCGGTGGTGATGTGCGGTGATCTGCCTGTTACCCTGCGTCAGGATGACTCGTACACGCTCCGTCCATCCTTACTCTATACATCCTCCCATCCCCTACACCGCAATCACGAACAGCATGACAACCACGAGGTTTTCTCTGTCGTGCAACCAGTCGCTTCTTTATACTGTATACCGTAACCCATCACGTAAGCCACGCCGGAGGTTGATACTGTATACTGTATAAGCCTCCCCTCCCCTTCCATCCCATCCCCATATTCCAGTTGCATAATAGAGGCCAGAAATATAAGGCCACAGCGGCTATCGGCACGTTCCTTGGTAGTCAGCGTACCGATTTGTAGATCCAGCAAGGTTTTTTGCCTACGATGCGTGGTGTGGAGGAGAAGAAATACATCCCGTGACTTCGATACCAAGGATGGGGTTATTCCCACACTATTCCCATTTCCCCGCCTAGTCTCAACACAGCAAGTCCATTCGAAACGTCGCACGGGAGCCATGCATCTGCGGTACCCCATTTAGAAGTATCTTCCACCTGGTTGTAGGCTGGTCATAGGCTGATAAAATAGAAGCAGTAGCACAAGAGAAGACTTAGCTTACATGTACACCTCGTGGACGTCCACCTCCAACATGCATACAGCAGCGACAACACTAAGCGGCAAACGGAGCCGGCAATTTTTCATTCCTGGGCACGCATGGCCGAGAGCGAGTTGGACGGCGGGAATGCAGTAGCTCTCCACACTTTTGGCGTTGCCGATGGCGTTGGCGTTGGCGTTGGTTTTTCTCCGCTTTCTCTTAGGCTATCGCTTTCTCTTAGGCTATCTTTTTTTTTGGAGGCTTGGGGGGGAGGGGGAGGGATGACTCGACGGAGGTGGATGGATGGAGCTTATTAATATAGGTTGATCTGGGCTGCTTTTGTGGTTCTTTCTGTTTATATATCTTTGTTGTATATCCTTCTTGGTGCTGCCGCGGGTCAAACACGGCGAGAGAATATACACCGAAGATTGAGGACTGAGGATCGAGGATCGAGGATTATATATACGACGCCCTCCCCTCACCCTCCTCCTCACCACCAAGCCGGCTCTTCGGCCTAGACGGGGCGGGGTCATACTATCAATATACCGCCCTCCTCCTCCCCCTCATCAAACAATACCATACCGGGAGAAGTGATACTGGCAACACCCACCAGCACCACCAGCACCACCAGCCAACCTTCCCCTCGAGAATGGCCACCACCACTGCCGCCGCCCTCTCCACCTCCCACCCTCAGCACGACTCCAAATCCGCCTCCTCCGGCCAATTGACAACCAACCCCGCCGCTGACAATGGCTCTTCCACAACAGACACCGAGAAAACCCCCGTTGTCGTGGGACTCGCGCCCCTCGCTGCGCTCCCGGTGCCAGATGTTGCGCCTGATGGGGGGTATGGATGGGTTGTTGTGGGGTGTGTGTTTATGATTAATGCGCATACTTGGGGGATTAATTCAGTAAGCTCCTCCCTTCTCCCTCTCCCGTTTTCCCATTTCCAGGTAGACTGAAGAGTAAGGAATGAGCACACAAGCTAACCGTCCCCCTCTAGTCCTACGGCGTCTTCCTCTCCTACTACCTCCAGCACGGCTTCTTCCCCGGCGCCTCCCCCCTCGAATACGCCTTCGTCGGCGGTCTCTCAATCGCAATGTCCCAAGTCGTCTCGCCCCTCGCAACCTACCTAATCCGGCGGTGGGGAATCTACATCCCCCTCCTCGCGGGGATCGTTCTCCAAACCTCCGCGCTGCTGGGCGCCTCCTTCGCTACCTCGATCTGGCACCTCTTCCTCTCCCAAGGCGTATGTTTCGGTCTCGGCATGGGACTTATATTTAACGCCACCGTCGGCTTAGTCCCGCAGTGGTTCGAGAAACGCAGGAGTTTCGCGAATTCAATCGGCACCGCCGGCTCCGGGATAGGGGGTCTGATATACTCCCTCGCCACACAGGCGATGATCGAATCCCTCGGTCTAGGGTGGGCATTTCGCATCCTAGCAATCTGTTCCTTTACCGTAGTCTCCATCGCCACGCTCCTCATCCGCGATCGCAACATCGCCGTAGGAGCAATCTACAACGCCTTCGACCTCCGTCTCCTTCGGCGTCCACAATTCCTCCTCACCCTCGCGTGGGCCTCCTTCAGCATGATCGGCTACGTCAATTTATTGTTTTCCCTCCCCAATTACGCTGTTAGTATCGGCCTCACCGCCACGCAGGCTTCGGTCGTGGGTGCGATTCTGAATTTGGGTCAGGGCATTGGGAGGCCGTTGATTGGGTATTTTAGTGATTCGTTGGGGAGGATTAATATGTGTCTCTTCTGCACGCTCGGGTGCGGGGTGTTGTGCTTCGCGCTGTGGATCCCGGCGGAGAGTTATGCGCTGCTTCTTGTTTTTGCGCTGCTTGGTGGTGGGGTGGCGGGGACGCTGTGGACGACTGTTGCGCCTGTTACTGCGGAGGTGGTGGGGTTGTCGATTTTACCCTCCGCGCTGAGTTTGGTGTGGGTGTCTTTGGTGTTGCCGAGTACGTTCGCCGAAGTGATTTCGTTGGAGTTGAGGAGGGACCAGAAGCCGATTTATAGGGATGCGCAGGTATTTACGGGGATGATGTATGTGGGGGCTGCGATGATGTTGTGGTTTGTGAGGGCATGGAAGGTGAGGGATGTGGAGAGGGAGAGGGTGGAGAAGGAGGGGGGTGCGGGGAATAGGGAGGGGGAGGGGGAGGGGTTGCAGAGGACGAGGAGTGTGGCGAGGAGTGTGAGGAGTGTGGCGGTGGCTAGTAGGGGGTTGTGGGTTTGGACGAAGGTTTAATGGGGGGGGGGGATATTGGGGGATGTGGAGGAGGTGGGGGAGGGGAATATATAATAAGTCATATACCTACCAGGAACGGTGCATCGACGCCATAAATATAACATAACATAATATCTAGCGATAGCAAACACAAATAAACACTTGGAATATCCACATACTCGTCACAATGCATCACCTCCTTCGACGACGCGGAAGATTGGCTAAACGTCACATTATCGGTGCCGAGTCTTGTCAGCAACAGCACTGCCAGCGTTGGAAACAGCACTGCCCGCACCACCCCGTTGACACATCGCAGCTCAAGCATGTTTGATCGACGAGCCCTGTGTTCGACTATCCAGGTTATCTCTGGGGATACTTGTGAGTAACTCTCAGTAGAAAAGTCCTCCGACGGACAGCCACTGATGATTTGTTCAGGCGAAGCTTTAGCAGCCGAGTGCGGCATCTCCCCCTACGACTTCACCGTCTACAATCCCGGCAGCACCCTCTGCTCCACCCTGATAGTCGGCCAGCACGTCTGCTGCTCCGCCGGCACGATGCCCGACTTTCGTCCAAAGCCGAACCCCGATGGAACCTGCGCCGCGCACTACGTCGAGACCGACGAGAACTGCTCATCCCTCGGCGCAGCGAACAGCCTCACGAATGTCGAGATCGAGAGCTTCAACAAAAATACTTGGGGCTGGCAGGGCTGCGTGAATGTTCAGGCGTTCCAGTTCATCTGCCTGAGCACGGGTGCGCCGCCTATGCCGGCGCCGATTGCGAATGCCGTCTGTGGACCACAGAAGCCGGGAACGGAACAGCCAGGACCGGGCACGACTCTTGCGAGCTTGAACCCTTGTCTGCTCAACGCCTGCTGTGTATGCCCCTCTGACCTCATCTATGAGCTCCCCAGTTTGTGCCTTGCAACAGCTAACCCAACCCGTCTCTAGAACAAGCACGGCCAATGCAGTATCAACAAGGACTTCTGCACCGAATCCGAGTCGCTAACAGGAGCACCAGGAACATCAGCCCCGGGCGAGAACGGCTGCATCTCCAACTGCGGAACCAGCATCGTCATCGGCTCCGCCCCGGCCGAGTACATCAGCATCGGCTACTTCGAAGGCTACAACCTCGACCGCCCCTGCCTGAACATGAAGATCACCGCCATGGACCTGACCCCCTACACGCATATCCATCTGGCATTCGGCCACGTCTCCTCGAGCTACGCCGTCGACGTCAGCCCTATCTAGGTCCAGTGGGAGCTGTTCAAGCAGTTGTCTGGCTTCAAGAAGATCCTGTCGCTCGGCGGCTGGAGCTTCTCCGCCGAACCGCCTACGTATCACATTTTCCGCGATGCGGTCAGGCCAGGTAATCAGGACACGTTTGTTGCGAACATCGTCTCGTTTGTAACAGAGCATGACCTAGATGGTATTGATATAGACTGGGAATGTAAGTTAGCTATGGCCTTTCCAACGAGGAACGGTATTAACCTGAGTCGTAGATCCTGCTGCACCAGACATCCCCGACATTCCACCAGGTACATGACCTGCCTCTCATGAGTTTCTTGGAGCAAACTGACTTAGAAGATAGGAACTGCCGAGGATGCAGCGAACTACCTCACCTTCTTCACAAAGCTGCGAGCAGCGATGCCTTCTAGCAAGTTGGTCTCGTTCTGCGCTCCGGCTTCGTTCTGGTATGTTAGGGGTTACCACATCGACGAGATGGCAGCCCTAGCCGATTACATCGTCTACATGACTTATAATCTCCACGGCCAGTGGGACTATGCAAACCAGCACGCGATCGACGGCTGCCCAGCCGGCAACTGTCTGCGTTCGCAGACCAACATCACCGAGACCCTCCTCGCGCTATCTATGATCACCAAGGCCGGCGTGCCGTCAAGCAAGATCGTTGTCGGCATCACAAGCTACGGCCGCTCGTTCCAAATGACAACACCCGGCTGCACTGGTCCCATGTGCACATACACCGGCAGAGACTCCGGAGCCTATCCCGGGCCATGCACTGGAACCGCAGGTTACATCGCGAATGCCGAGATCAACGCCATCCTTAATGGGACCGGGACTTAGAAGACTCCATCTAGAGCTCTGCAGCCGATCACATCCTACTCGACATATTTCGACACCGACAGCCAGTCGAATGTTGCTGTGTACGAGTCCACGCAGTGGGTCGGCTACATAGACAGCGACGTCAAGGCAGATCAGAAAGCCCTTTACAAACTCCTCAATATAGGTGGAGTTGTCGATTGGGCCATTGATCTAGAAGGCTTCGGCGGCGATACCATTGCTTCTGGCCCCTCTACAAATATCGTGTATCCCCCGCCGAGCATCTGGAGCTCCTCCGATCGGTGGACGGGCTGTAATCCTCCCTGCATCGTTGTCTTCCCACCATATCCACTCAGTGCCCCTCACGCTGTGACTAGCTGGCCAGCTTTGACAACAACGCTCCTGTCTTCTGACGTAGCCGGCAGTGGCGTCTATGTGAAGACGACGACAATCCCCGTCCCGACCTTTACCATCACAGATGTCAGTCTTCACCCCGTGACACTGCAATCTACAGACACAGCAAACTACAAAGTCAACCCTGTCCAGAGCATCACTCCAGTATCCTTTGTATGGACTGTTCCTCCGAACCACGCCACCTTCCCCGTCACTTCCCCAACACTAGCGACGTCTACAGACACGGATGTACCACTACTCATCATCCCCCCCGTCACATTCCACCCGACTCCTGTCCCCGTCACCATCCAACCCCAGCCAACCTACTCGGTCATCCATCCCGATCCCCCAATTCCGGCAGCACCCGTCACCATCAAGCCTAATCCCAACCCGACTCCTCCCGGCTGCACAGGGTCCGGGTGCGGAAAGCGCGACTGCGGCATCTTCGGCTGCACAACAGGCTGCGGCCTGTTCGGCTGCGGCGGCGGCTGTGGCATCTTCGGCTGCATACCCAGCTGCCCCCTCGGATCATGCGGTGGCGTCGGCTGTCTCATTCCGGGCGGCTACGGAAACACGCAGGGTTCCAACGGCGGCGATAGCGGCAACGACTGCGACGTCCCCGCCACGGCATCGGCGTGCACGTATCTAGTCACGAGTTACAGCGCTTGGTACCTAGCTTCGTCCACGACGACAACAGAGGTAAGTCGACCTGGACCTTGAGTTAGAGAGGGCGGAAAGCTAACTTCGAGACAGACCAACTGCGTGACGAGCACGGCTTGCAACGGACAGGATACCACAGTCAGAACGACGCCCGGCAGTCCGCAGTGCTCGATAGACCCCGATGTATCGAGGGCCTTGTCTGCGGAAGGGGTGGCTGACCAGACGATTATCAACGGGAAGCAGATCCCACTGGCATTCGCGCCGACGAATCCGGCGGGCTACGATGGATCGACTTTTGCCGATAAACAATTCGGTTTGACGGAGACTATCACGGTTATCAAAACCTCGACTGTGATAAACACGCCGACCAAGACGGTGACGGTAGTGGTGCCGACGACCGCGCGTGCTAACTGTGCCTACTAGTAAGTCGAGAAGTTCTCTCTGTTCCCCTAACCCCGACCCCTGGCGCAAGAAACTGGATGGCGGACGGTGAAAGCTGACAGCAACTAGGATCTCCGATTTCTTCTACATATTCCAAGTATACAACATCGACGGCTGGAGCACAGACGGCGGCTCGAAGCTGAAATCTGAAGAGAAGGGCTGCGGCGCCCTAACGGACTAGCGATGGAACGAGCGCACCTCCACGCGGTATGCACACGCCTACTTCCAGCTGCCCTTCTTCATGAAGTCCGGCTGCGTCGAGCGCGCGATCGTGTCCGCTGGCGGTCCCAAGCTGTCCTGTTCATTCGAAGGCTACGATTTCGTCTTCGGGAAGCGATCCGCGGGGATGGATCCGCCGCCGCTGCCGCTGCGCCAGCGCCAGCTCATCAGCGACACGGCCAGTCTCCCGAGCCGCTCGCCGGTTACGTAGAGCAACACACGCACGGAGACCGCAGCTCTGTACACGCCCGAGCCGTGGGGCCCCGGCTACACGGAGATCTTCACGACTACCGTGGAGGAGACCTCGAAGTCGACGTATACCACGGAGATCGTGCTGGCCTCGAATGAAGCCTCGACGACGGGCACCTAGACGTTAACCACGACCTCTGCCGTCCCATCTGCCACATCGAATCCCTCCACCAACGGCCTTTGCGGTGCTAACAACGGCGGAACATTCTGCACCGGCACGCCCTTCGGCGACTGCTGCTTGGAGTACGGCTACTGCGGCGACACGAGCGGGCACTGCGGCACGGGGTGCTAGAGCGACTTCGGGACCTGCGATGCCAGTGGGGGCGGTCCACCGGTGTCGACAGACGGCACTTGCAGCTCCGCCAGCACCCCCGGAGGCGCGACGTGCGCAGGGTCGATGTTCGGTAACTGCTGCTCCGCGAGCGGCTTCTGCGGGGACGCGACTGCGTATTGTGGCACCGGTTCCTAGACTGATTTCGGGACTTGTTCTCCGAGCGGCCCGCCGGTGTCTACGGACGGGACGTGTAGCCAGGCGAGCGACCCGAGCGGGGCGGCGTGCGCTAGGTCGGCGTTCAGTGAGTGTTGCTCTGAGCATGGGTATTGCGGAGACACGAATGCGTATTGTAGGACGGGATGCCAGGTAGCTTTTGGGACTTGTGCGTAGGGGAGAGTGTGCAAGTCCTGCTAGTGGTGAGACGGGGATGTATGGTAGTATACATACTTATGTAGATGAGTATACCTTAAACAAAGTCATACCATTGTCCTGAATATCCGAATAGAGGCATGCATGCTACTCCCTCGCACCTAGCTCAAAGTTAAACTCGTTCAAGAGCGGTGAGACCTTCCATCTCGCGAAGAGCTGCCCATTCTCCACCAAGATCCGCTGTAGCACCTTTTCCCTCTCCTCCGCACCAGGCCACGCACCCTCCCACGTCCTCACATACGGCTCCACGACCGCCAGGGCCTCCCTTAGCCACCTCCCTGCCCTTTCCTCCGCAATCCTCCCCTTCGCCACCATTCCCCTCTTCAATTCCTCCAGAAAAACTTCTCTCTCCTGCACCCCCTCAACCGCACCCCGCATCACCCCCAAAAACACATGCGACCGCACCGCAAAGTCCAACTCACCAACCTCCACCCCCACTGTCTCCTCCACCGCAACAGCAGCCAAAAACTCCACCTCCTCCTCACTCCCCACCTCCCCCTCCCACCCCCTCCACCACGCCTGCACCCCGATCCCACCATCCGGCAACCCACACCACTGCACCTCGCTCTCCCACACGCCATCCAAATCCGGCTCCGCGACCTCCCTCCCCTCCCCACTCGCCTCCCACAGCTGCGCCGAGTACTTCCCTTCCCACGCACACACATCGAACGCGCCCTGCGCGACCAGCACACCGAAGCCATTCGGCTTCCACGCTTCCTTGGCCGAGCCAGACGGTCTGGGCGCACCGAGCTTCATGTGCTCGAGCCAGAAGCGCGCCTGCGTCTCGGAGTAGGGCAGCACGCTTGGGTGGACCGCGCGCAGGCGCGCGGTGGTCGCCTCAAGCGTGCTGAGGGCTAGCCGGGTGAAAGTCGGTAGCGGGAGGGAGGGCTGTCTGCGGCGCGTGCGCGCGACGCTGTGGGCCCAGCGGGGGAGTTTCGTGGCGTGTGCGCCGGCGGCGGTCAGGGGGGGTCGCTGGCGCGGCTGCCCTAGCGGGGAGGAGGAGTCGGGCAGGTCTTGGAGGTCGGGCAGGCGGTAGAAGCGGGCTGATGTGCGCTGTGTGAGGAAGGTGGCGGAGTAGTAGGAGCGCCATGCGGAGGGGTAGAGGAGGGCGCGGTGCGTAGCGTAGAAGGCGGGGAAGTCAGAGGGGGAGGGGAAGTCGCCGTTGAGTTGGGAGGAGGAGCGGTAGATGGCCGCTACGAGCTGGGCGAGGTAGAATATATCTAGGGTGCTGGCGATTATCAGTCTTCGTTTTGGTTATATTAGGGATCGTAACTTACCGATTAAACTTCAACTCCCCTTCGCCGAACGACCACCCGCGTGCGTGTAGCTTTTCTACGACATCAAATACGCCGTTGCCCTTCCACAGCCCCTCATCCATATAGATGAATGCTATCTGTAACACGCGATCGTAGCAGTCTACTGGCAACTTGCCGCCCTCAGCGTCCGCGAGGAATTCTTCAGCACTCATGGAAAATGATTATTAGGGAATGTAAATATGAATATCAATATCAGATCAGATCCTCATGGTATGTCGGGCCGAGGATCAGGAACTTTTATGCTAAGATGGGATTTGTAAGCAGAAACCTACTGCACGAGGCTTCTCTTCACCACTACGCCACGTAATCCCCTAATATGCCGAACAAGGAGAAGATAAAACGAAAAGATATAATGACCCATAAATAGCCAGTTTAGTTGGGTGTATTAATATGTTGCTAGTGCCAGCATATATTTCAACACTTGAGCCACAGACACAGGACACCCATTCAGTTGCGGATGCAAGTGAACGAGTATATAAAGGAGTTTTCATTTATATATAACCATGCCACTGTCACATTACGTTGAACGACAGCTGTGTCTGAGCTCTGTAATGAGTAGACAGTGAGAAGCAACAGTGTTCTGAAGTAGGTGGCAATGAGTCGACTTAGTGGAAGTCTAAAGGGCGAGAGTCTTTATTAGTTTATGATGTTATCATATGGCGCTACTTGTACTATATCTATTTTCAAAAGTTAATTTTCGCTACCTATACCTACAAGATGGTTGGGTGAGTCGATCTTATTTTAGATTGATATCCTACTTGCAGATGGGATGAAATGGATTATACCCTATGGGCATGTGGGCATCATGATATTTCACTCCTGTCTATCTCTCTCCCATGGAAGAGATGGTCAACAGAATTATGAGGTTTATATGGTATATGAGAACGGGTAGCAACATGGTGATATAGCTATTCAATTTTGTAATAGTCAACATATGATCAAACCTATATGTTCACCATTGCTGGGATATTACCGGGCTTGACCCAGGTGTGCTATATGTTAACAACCACCACTATCAATCAACAGAAAGGGTATATAGCGAGCGTGCACATTCCCCCTCCTCCACCCTCTCAAACAACCCCCAAACGTCACCGCCACGGCACAACCTCCTCGCTAACAAGACTAAACGGACTCCTCGCCATCTCCGGCCCCCTCTCCCGTGGTGGAATAGCGAATAACTCATCCTTCCCCTCTCCATCCCCTCCCTCCTCATCCTCCCCAGCCCCCGCACCCGCACCCGCACCTCCACCCACCGCGCTACTCTCCACAGACGTCCACCTCCCCCCAGCACTAGCAGTATCACCCCCCGCCAACGCATCAAGCGAGCTCATCAGTCGCCCATCCCCTGTGGAGGCCTGTTGTGCGATGATGGAGGCGGGTGGGAGTTGTGATACTATCGCTGGTGCGGCGCGCGTTTGTGGGGGTAAGGTTGTTTGGGAGGTTTGGGAGGATTGTGGAGTGGAGGAGGGCGCGGGGGAGTGGAAGAGAGCGAATGCCGGGGCGGCGATGGCGATGTCGGAGGGGGCGGGGGAGAGGGGGTTGAGTGGCTCTGGGGCTTTGGGGTGTTAGTTTTGTGATCGAGGGGGCAAGACAGCGAGTTGAGATGAAGAAATGGGAGAGTGAAATTAGAAAGAGGAAAGAAAACTCACCATGAACATCCAATTCCCCCGGACTAGTCCCTAGTTTCAACCCCCCCATCCTCCCCGCGACTCTCCCCAACGGACTCCCCGGCATCTTCCCACTGACATTCCCATTCCCACTCCCACCCCCATCCCCTCCCTCCCCCTTCCCCGCACCTTTCCCAACCCCAAAATTCTCCTCAATCCACACCCGCTCTCTAACAGCCATCTCCCAGCCCACGCCCTCCCCACCCTCCCCCTCCTTCTCAATCTCCTTCTCAAGCACCGCTACCCTCCGCTTCGCCCACCGCGTATGCAATACCCCCTTCCTACCCGCTGTCCGTGCTGAGGCCCCGAGTTCGGGTGGGAAGATCGCGGGGAGGGGGTTTGTGTGGAGGGCCTCGGAGGCGGGGGCGGCGCGGCGGGAGATATTTACAAGTCGCGGAACCGGTGTCTGCGGTGGGAGGAGGAAGTATAATCGATGCGTGTTTACCTTCCCCGTCACCTCCCCGGCCGCAGCCTCGCTCTCATCCACCGTCGCGCTGCCGCTTCCATAAACAACACCCCTCGCCTTACCCTCCCAACTAACTTCCCACACCTCCTCCTCCTCCTCTTTACCCTCCTTCTCCTCCTCCTCACTACCAGAAGCTCTGAGGGGTGTACTCCACTCAACCATCAAAACTTTACTCCCCTCCGCCCCCCTCCCGGCCTCAAACTCAAACCTCGCCCTTGCATTCGCCGACGACAGCGCAGGCGCGTGGTCCAGCTCCGGCGCGGCCGCGCCGTCGGGGGAGGGGGGGAAGGGGGCGCGTGGTGATGGGGTGGGGGATGTCATCTTTGTTTTGTAGGTTGGGGAATGTACGAGTCAGATAGGCATGTATGTAGGCGCTGGGGTTTTTTTGCGGTAGTGGCTGAGGCGGTAGTCGGTGGTGCTGGTGGAAGGAATGGGAGGATGAGGGCGCAGCAGCGGTAACGGCGGGGATGGATGGAGGGGTCGAGCGGACGGATGGGCGGTGGGCTGGGCACACGCTGTATGGATGGAGGGAGAGGGGGAGGGATTATCCGAGGGCTACAAAAGAGATGCAGCTCAGCTCAGCGCATGTAGGCCAGCGCTGGCTTGGCTTTTTGGGGATTGACGACTGATGATCGACGGCGGGCGATAGAGGGGTGGTGGTGGTGGTGGGTGGGCTATAATTAGATTTGATATTTTTGTTGATGCAGGGTGGCTTCGGGGGTGGTGCGGGGTTGGATTGGTTGGGTTGTAGTGCTTGCATATTGTGATACGAGGGGGGATTTGCACTGGGTGTTTGTAATTTTGAGGGGTTTGGATTTATAGTGTGGTACATGTGTGCATGTAGACTTATACTATACGGGATGACGCTCACCGTGACGATTTTTTATTTTTTTTATTTTCGAGGTCTTGCTTGTGGTGTGAATAGTTTGCGCCTTTGATTGTTTAGTACTAAAACTATGTTGGGTAGTGAGTGACTACTCTTATTAATTATAACTTGCAAAGTCACTTGTTTACTCTGTATTAAGTCGCATTATTCTTTTCCTTGAGTCATTAATAATTAAAACTGCTCGAGTGCAAGAAACAAATTCAAAGGTTGAAAAGTCCATAAATCAAATTTCAACTACTGAAGCTGTACTTTTCTCACTTAGCACTTAATAAAAAGCAGCTCCTGCGAGAAGTAGACATGCATCTACGTATCCATCAAGCCGGGCTACAGGGCACTCTCAACATAGCCAAACTCCACAGCATCGTAGTATCCACCGACACCAAAATGACCATCGGTCTCCTATTCGACCTCATCCCCTCAACCGACTCCTCCCTATACAGCTACAAAAACACCGCCTTAGCTTCAGAACACCATGCAAAGTGGAAGCAGCAAGTTACCGATACGGTCACGCAGTTACACGCCCATGATCTTGTGTGGGGCGATGTTCATCCGGGGAATATTGTCATCGATACCAGCTTCAACGCGTGGGTTGTGGATTTCGGCGGGGGCTCAATAGTGGAGTTCGTTCCGCGCAAGAAAGCAGGGACGAAAGAGGGGGATTGGCAGGGGGTTGGGAAGATCTTTGATGAATGGATATTCAAAAGCGATGACTGAACACAAGTGGCATCCATCAGTGGCTTTGGCAAGAGGCCTTTAAAATGCCAGTGCATTCAGGGTACGAATGTGGTAAACGGATATCACACAAAAACACTAAAACCAGCATCTGAGAAACTCGAACCTCTTCCCATTTATTGTTCTCGCTATGCCGCTAAATGGAAGCAAAGCAACCTGACCCTATCCCATCCATAATACCCGCGTGTGTCCCCAGTAGTATGTTCGTTCGTCCGTCTGTCATTAATTCATATCGCTCAATCCGCTAAACAAGGCGTGAAAAAAAAAATCCAATCCCAATCCATCCCATCCATCCCATCCATCCCAGATCCTTCCATCCCGTAACATCGAAATCATACCACACTGTTACCATTACGCATATCCCGTCACCTCTCACCCCCCCATCCCCCCACCTCCCCACCCCTTCATCCCCCTTCCCTTCATACCCACTTCCCCATCCCCCCTCCCCCAAACCCCCCCTGTCCCTGTACCTGCCCATTCGCCCTTCCCCCCGCTCCATACCCCCCCTCCCCCGTCCCCCCCTCCTCCAGCGCAGGCAGATCAATAAACGACGCCTCAGTATAATGCGCGAACTGCTGCTGCTGCTGGTTTGGGTTCTGCTGTCTTGGCGAGAACGTCGCGTGCTGCTGCTGCTGTTGTTGCTGGCCAGCGGCGGCGGCGGCGCGGTAAGGATCCATCGCCGATTGGTTGGTGCCGGAGTGGTAGGTGCGGGCGGCTTGTTGGGGTTGGTAGTGTGTGAAGTGTGAGGGGGAGGGGGTGGGGATGTGGCGTGCTTGCGGTTGTGGTTGGGGGTGGTGGGGTTGGTAGAAGGGGGTTTGGAGGGGGGAGGTGCGAGTTAGGAGGTGCGGGTCGTGGCGGGGGTCGAGTTGTTGGGGTTGTTGCTGCTGTTGTTGCTGCTGATGCTGTTGCTGCTGTTGTTGCTTCTGTGCCTGTGCCTGTGCCTGTTGCTGTTGCTGTTGTTGTATACTGGTGAAGTGATTATAGTGCGCTTGGAGTCCTTGTGCAGGAGCTCGCGTTATGATTTGCTCAGATGCGACGGGGAGAGACGAGAACACCGTGGTGCTAGGCACAGAGACGGGTCTCTGCGAGCTGGTGACAGGGATGGCTCTTGCTACCGGTGCCGACGCCGGGGTAGGCGTGGGTGTAGACTTGAGAATCGTCGTGTCCTGTGCCACACTCGTCTTTGAAGTTGCTGTGGTAAGGTCTTTAGACTTCCGGTGACGCTTTGCAGCCGGGCCCGCAGAGGCGCTCTTCGGCGTCGCCTGTTGGGAGTTTGCTCTCGACGGCTCATTTGGCTGCGGCGCCACTGGTGGGGTGATGGTAGACTGTGGTGGCAGAATGGGAGGAGCAGGAACGGTAACAGCATCTTCCACGGTAAAGCCATTGCTCGACTTCCGGGGCCCACGTTTTCGTTTCTCAACTGGCTTTGCGGTAGGTGCAGGGACAGGAGTCTCGCTAGTCTTGGACTTGCGGTAGGCCTCTAGGACAGCTCGCTCCTCGGCGCTTAGGCCTTGGGGCACAGCAGCAGCGATATTGTTTGTTGGAGTTGCAGTTTGGCTAACCGCGGCGCGATTGCTTCTAGCTAGCGTCGGGCTGACGCTGGTTGGCAGTATAGGCGTTTCCTTAGGCTTGGTCTTTGAGCCTGGAGGACGACCTGCTTTGCGCTTCGGTTGTGACGTCGGCGTCTGCGAGTTCGCAGACTGCATGGTCATCACAGGGCTGCTCGTGGACGCGGCAGAGGACTGATTGAGGGAAAAAACCTCAACAGCAGGAACCTCATTCCCTTCAGCATCCTTCTCTTTCGGGCGATTGCGAGAGCCCCGCGGTCGTCCCGGTCTCCTCTTCCCGATATTCGCGGTTGCTGGCGGATCTAACGGCTCGGGTTCGTTCGATTCCTCGGGTTCGAGCTCGATTATCCCCGTGCCCGTAGAATTGACAGGGACAAACGCGCCAGAGGCATTCGCCCCAGTCTGTCCAGATCCCTTATCATGTAGTATTGACTCCGACTCCCCAATATCAACCCACTCATCATCCGCCCCATCCGCATCCGCATCCTCATCTTCATCCACCACTGACACAGCCCTTACCTCAGCCCCCGCCCCTCCCTCCCCCTCCCTCCCCCCATCCTTCGGCCCCTTCTTAATCCCCTTATCCTTCCTAACCTTCGACGCCTTACTCCCCTTCGGCCTGCCCCTAGGCCTCTTCCCCCTCGCCCCTCCCCCCCCCACACTCGACCTCCACACCTTCCTCTCCAGCTCCGGAAAAATCTCCGACAGCCACCCCACAAACAGCGCACCACTCCCATTCGCATCCTCGCTCGCCGGGAACGCCTCGTCCTCCGGCGCCGGCGCCCCCGGTATCCCGCCAAAGAACGCAAGCGCCTTGCACATCTGATCCACCACCGCCAACGGACTAATACTCCTCAACAGCGTCAACAACCTCGCCTGCTCATACTTCGTCTCCTCCGCGGACATCGGCTGCGTCCTATGCACCGGCTGCTGCACCACCGGCGCGGGCTCACTCGGCACCACATACGCCTGCTGCTGCTGCACCACCGCCGGCTCCCCTCCCTCCACGCGCCGCCTCTTCATCCTATACGAGTCCTGCAACATACTCCTCGCCGCCTTCGCCGTATTCTCGCTCGCCCTCTGCGCCGCCTCCCCCCTCGGCACCATGCGCCCCCCGCCACTCGACCCGGACATATCCATATGCATGACGGCGAAATTCCCATTCCGCTGATCTGTCTTCCCCTTCAGCTTGCGCGGAACGGGGTTGCGCACGCGCCCGTCGCGGTGGGCGCCGAGTTTGCCAGAGCGCTCGGTCGAGGGGGCGGTGAGGTCGAGGACGCCGAAGCCGGGGGCGCGGCGCGCGGGGGAGGGGGCGGCGTGGGTGGTGCTTGAGGGGGTGGAGGTTGTGGGGGCGAGGGGGGAGGCGCTGGGGTTCGGTGAGGGGTTGGATGAGGGGCGCAGGAGCTGTGTAGGCGCGTCGCTGGAGGGGGTGTTTGCTGCCATTGCGGAGGATTGGGGGGGTAAGGAAGCAGCTGCGCTGTTGTCGGGGGCGTTTGCGACTACTCCACCGGTGTTGGTGGAGGCGGGATTTGGATGCGCGTCAACGAAGGTGGTGAGGCGGAATTGGCCAAAGGAGGAGGTGTTCGAAGAGACAATGCCGCTGGGCTGGAGCCCGGACATTGTCGCCATTTCAAAGTTGTGGGCGTGGGCGCGGGAGAGCGAGGCGCCATGCCTTGTGGCCGTGTGGAGGAGTGTGAGTTTGAGGTGAGGTCCCTTATCTGGGCGCGCGGGTAGGGTCATCGCGAACAACACACTCGGGTGGTCATCGCTTAGGTCTGGGCTGGGGGGTTCAGCCTCGACCTGCTGTGATTCGTGCGTCACTGGTCAATCAATATTGAGCCCCATTCAGAGAAATGACAGGAGTCCGAATTAAGGCATATATGTGCGTTACGCGCTGGGGAAACTGTGGATGGATGGTTATGTAAATAAATCCGTCGCTCAGTCGCTCAGTCGCTCACTCAATCACTCACCTTCATCCGCATCAAGTCCAGCATAGTAACAATAGAGTCAACAGTTGACAAACAAAAGGTATTTCATTTCATCCAGCAAAAGCTGTTTGCTACAAGGAGTGATCTGCTACAATGATCCATCCAAAAAAACCATGTTTCCCAGTGGAGTATACGTCTCCAACATGGCAACATCATATATGATATCTATGCCTCAATACCGAGACCGACGCCCCTGCTCCTTATATATACGCTCACACCAACGCCATTGATAAATGCTTCCCTACATCTCGTGTGCGCCCAAATAAGCACCACCAGCTCCAATAGGGTGATGTAAGGCGTGCCGCGAGGCCTGTGACAATCCAGGTGCCCATTCCTCGTCCACGCCTCCATCCTCCTTGATCAGCTCCAACAGGACCTGAGTGTTCCTCTTAATCTTCAGGGAACACTCGACTATCCCGCGCTCCAGGATGAGCGCCTCGGCCGTGTGAAGCCAGATGTTCGTCAACGGCTGTTGGTCTAGGAGCAACGGCCTTAACTGATCACGCGACAGCGGGCTCATAGGTGGCCCGGCGGCAAGGCTTGTGTGGAATATCGTGTGGCTAGGGGTACGGTGTGCGCGTGCATCCATACAAGCGGGCTGAACGCAGTCCCACTCGTTGCAACTCCCCGGGTCGTGTAGCGACAGCCCTTCCATAGCCGCGACATCGGGGTGAGACGTGACAGACTTCTTCCGTCCGAGACCTAATATGGCTAATCTCGACTTGGGAGGGGCCTCCATGGGTTCCCGGGTGACGGAGCTGTACCAGCTGTCGACAGCTGCTCGTCTCGAGTTGTATCCCTTCATCTCCCAAAACCGTTCTGCCTGCCGCAGACCTCCTATTAATATTATCGTCGCGTAAATCTCATCGGCTGGCTTGTCTTTTAAATAACCCTTGATCGAACGCTCCAGTCTACCGGCGTACGATGGAGGTCGCAGGCGCCGAGAGAAGGATGAGAGGACTAGCGGGAAGACTTGGTGTAATTGAAGTAGTGTTTGGTCGTCGTACATGTTCATAACCTGGCGCTCTATCGGGTTCAAGGTGAAAGGCTGATGTCGTAGGGGTATTCCATTCGATTCCAGGTGTTTTAGGTGAAGCTCTCGGTACTTTTCGAAGAAATGAAACATAGTAAATAGTAATGGCATTAAACGTAACCGCATACGTTTATGTTGCGGTTCGAATTCGCGCCGTTTTGCTTCGGTGTCGCGAAGGAATATTTCCTGAGTCGTATGCTCAGCGATAAGGTCTGCAAGTTTAGATGCGACATGAAGGCGGTGCCAAAGTCCGCAAAGGTAATGTAGGGTGAAGAGTTTCGAATCGGGGACTGGGTATAATCGTAAGGCGTAGTGAGGGACGCTGTGGGTAAGATGATGCCGCGATATGGGCGACTCATTCATTGAAATAAAGGAATTGAAGGATCTCGAGACAAGCCTGAGGTTGAGAACCGTCGGCATGGGAAGGGTGTTCATAATCTGGAGTTGAAGTTCGTTCGGAAGTCCAAGGAATCGGTCGCCGAGAGTAAGTCTACACGTCAACGTTAGCAAAGCAGCGATATACCGGAATCAAAAGCAAACGCACTGTTGCTTTACGGGCCCTTCTTCAAAGATGAACTCGTGCCCAACTTGATGCGACGTTCCCTTATGCGAGACCTTGAACCTGAAGTTCGTAAGAGATGATGTGAAGCTCGGTTTCCTCGGGGCCTTCGACGTAACCTCCGGCACCAGCAGCCTCCTCTTTCCATCCCCGGATCGATCGGTATCGCCGCTTCTCCTCCTTCGCGCTCCCGGCGGGCGCGGGTTCCTTATGGGTAGGCTGAATGTTGAGGTCTGCGACGTGCCAGCGGCGGCGTCAGCAGCCTGGGGGTTGCTCGCATTGTCGACAGCATCGTGTAGCGAATTTAACTTCTCAAAGTACCGCGGACTGGCGAACTCAGTGATGTGACTTGGATCCATGCTCGGCTTCGGGCTCCTATGGCATCCAGATGGGGGTGCGACAGTCGTGCTGAAGCATCAGGATCGCGGGAGGGCCGTCGTCTCTAGAGAAGCGTGTGAAGCCACTCAGGACGTCAGCGAGCAGTGTTTGTTGATGGTGTATCGCTGCCAGATCATAGTTTTTCGAACCCAAGTCGCAAATGGGGAGGGGGTGATGATCGAGATGGTCGTCGATGGTCGATAGTTGGAGATAGATCGAGAAGAGGAAGTTCGTGGGGGGGAGGGGAGAGAGTGAGTGGGAGTCGTGGAGTAGAAGAGCCGATGTTGGTTCAGATGGGGGTGGGGGGTGTTGTAGTGTAGTGAGGTGCGTGATCCAGCGAGCGACTGCAACCCAAAGGTACATTTAAGAAGTATACATCGTACAGTCAATTTGTAGGGTTCGTGGGTCTTCGTAAGTACCCTTTTTATTTTCTAGTGCTGTACGCCAGCGATTATTGGGACTACTGAGTATGGGACTATGGGGTATCGGAGTGGGTGGATGTGGATGAAGAAATGGGTTTAGTAGAACGTGATGGCGGAGTGGATAAGGGAGAAAAGAAGTCGAGTTCGCAGCATCAGTGGCACTTTAGGTGGGTGAGTTTTGTGTGGTGGTAGGGGGTAAATGTAGGGTGTGTAGGGGGGGATATGGGGGGTGGTAGGGGGGTCGCATGGGGGGGGGTAGGGGGTTGAAGCTGAAGCATTAATGCCAACACGGCGTCTGTGATAGGGGAGACTGGTGATAGGGAGCTGCAGGCCGGAGCAACAGAGCAATAGGGAATGGAGGATATTGGGAGAATATGGAGAATATGGATAGTACCAAAAAGTTAGTGAAGTAAGCACATTCGCGCCCCATCGCGCCCCATCGCGCCCCAGAGGAGAAACACCACATCCGCCGCCAATTTGAATTTCTCCACAATAAGGCCGGTCACCCAGAGTTTACCCGGCAAGGGATCAGCAAGTGACGAAGGGTTCAAAGGCCGCCACTACCACCAGTACGGAGTAAAGTAGCAAGGCTAACGAATGGCAAAGTACCCCGTCTCGACAAGGGACCGATGATCCCCATGGAGTAAAGTCGAGTCCAAGTAGACAAGAAAACAGGAACATGACGATAACCGCCACGCCATCATGTGAATACCCGGATATGATACTGGAATGTGAGTAGAGTGCTCCATGGAGTATGAGCGGCAAAGAACGCACAGAATTGTTTGATATGAGTACGCCGTACGAACGGTCGACACTCGCCCTTGTGTCGCCGACTGGTTGTCAATCCGGGGGGGAGACAAGAGGCAAGACCATGTCAACCCCGTCGACCATGTCACTAAATGATCCCCAATATGGGGAGTTCCAGGTACCACCGTATGTACTCTGCCTGTCTCACTCTACCCCCGACATGGCCTCACTGGTCCTCTTTATTTCTCTGTCCGTGTCTCTCTCATATTTGGCCGAGAAAGGGAAATACGAGGCAAACAGATGATCTCGAAGGCCTGCTCTTCATAATATTCCCCCACTATTAGGGAAGGATGGCCGACCTCTCGTGGGCTTCGTGACTCGGTGAATCTCCTCCGACCTCATCACCAGCTAACTGCGCTGTGATGGATAAAAGGGCCGGATATTCCGTATGGGCGAGATATGTCCCGTCTCTGTCAGAACCATTGAATGTACATGCACAGTACATCCACCCACAGTGCATACAGTACCTCGCCCCCAACTCAGGAGGTACTTCCCGCGACGACGACCCCCTTCCCTTCCCAACTATCCCATCCATGTCATTTGCCATGCGATTGACGCGATAGCGGCCAAGAATAGTCAAGACCTGGCCCAGCGCCCATCTATCAGATAGATTCAACGGCACGCACCCAAGAAGCCATGCCCGATAACGACGACAAACTTGCCTCTTCGGGCGCTCCAGACATCGCCATCTGCGAGGATCCATCGTTCGTTGTATCGCAGATGCATTTAAGCTTTCCCGCCTCGCTGTCCAGACCCTTCTTGTCAGCTCGATGCGGCCTGAGAGACGGAGCACTGTGCGCCGCCAGGCTGCTCTATTGTGCCTCGCATGGACGAGAGGAGAGGCCAGTGATGGATTAGGCTATATCTTTTGCACTCTCAGGATTGTCCGCGATAGTAATCCGTATTGGCGCTCGGTGAAATAGAAGGGCCTTGTTTATTCTCGTGACTCGAGCAACTCGAGCACAGAACCCTGAGGTCTCCGCATCGTAGTAGAGTAGAGTGGTATCACAGCGGCAGTTTGTTCACACAGTATTTACACTGGAGAAGGGCCTTCAAAGCTTCACAAATGTGTCATTATTCCCGCTCTCGGCGAGAACCCCGAGAAGTCCGAGAAGGGACGCGTTGACATCGAACAGACTAGACCGGCTACTTCCTGTCAACTCGGTGGCAATGTGTTGATTGGGCTCGGCAGCTCCATTCCCAGATGCACACATCTCAATCTCGGCCGATCTCTCGAACAGATAGATCAATGCTCAAAATATCAGTCCGTCCATACAATGCATCCATACATGCGAGCGCGTGTTGTGCGTGATGAATTGGTGGTGATGGATGGTGGCGGCGGTGGTGGTTCCTCGGTCGCTCTTGTCGCCAAGGCCTTGTTCTTGCCCTGTGCGCACATCTTGCCTCTCACCAAAACGGCCCTTCTCCGGAAAATTGGTGCGCTTAATCCCTGTGAGTGCGGCCTCAACTGTGCAGGACAGGACTGTATGGACTGTTCGCTGCGCAGTATAGTACCACGACTGAGACAGTACAACGCACTGTAATGGAGTACTCCGAGTACACCAACAATCCACCAATACTTCATCGACGGTCCAGCGACGCCAGCGGCGCCTCCTCCAACACTCCGAGGTGTAGCACGGCATCATACACGTTTGATTCAAGCTTCACCTAGACCTAGGACGGTAATGGAGGCGAACCCGGGGACACCCTCGCACACCCAGGCAAACCCAGGCAAGAGTGATCTTCGACGATATCCCCAATATGTCCAGAGTATGGAGTACTTGACGCATAGTACTCTACACCTACCCAAACATATCGCACCGAGACATTTCTCTCCACACAGACACAGGGAACTAAGGCGCGGATAGGGAACAGGATTGAAGATACAAACCCCACTCAACCCACTTCCCCCTTCTTGGGCTCTCCACCACTCCACTCCGGCTCGGGGAGACGCTCGGCCATCCTGGAGAAACATTACGAAACAAAAGATTGGCCGAATCGGAGTACCCTCTGCCGCTTGGATCGGTTTGTTCCGCCGTTATCGTCGGCGTCACTGTGATCGCGAATTGGAAAAAGGTGGCAAAATTGCTGGCCTGTCTGCCGTGCTTCTTGTCTCCTTAAAAATCACCAAGCCGCCGACAGCATTTGTACGCCCGAGGAAGGGACTGGCCGTGCTGGTCACATTGCACTGACAACTTAGTAAGTAATATGCCATCCATACAAAGGATGATATTGCAGGCCCATACCTTGCTTTGCCATGCCGCGCCACGCAATGCCATGCAAGGCTCTCGGCGCTGGTGACCGCTCACTCCCTCATGAATCCCATATCGCACCCGCCGGGTCCAAAGTATTTCCCCGATACCAGGGACCAGCCCGAATGCCACCGGGAGGCTTGGAATGCTGCAAGGTCGTATATGCAGTGTGCCTGCGCTCGGTCTACTTTCGAGAGTATTCCGTTGAGAAGCTACATGATCCATACATGCAAACAGGCAATAGTCTGCTCTGCACAATTTGTATTGTTTTGTACTTTTGAAGGAGGCTTGCACATCCATCTGTCACTCTCAAATTCGTGGGTACAGATCGGTTAAGATAAGATTAGATTAGATCTGGGCGGGCACCAGATCCAAGGCTTCAAATACGCACACCCACGTAACCTGGCACGTACTGCGGCTAGAGAACGCCATGAGCCGCAACCCTTAACCACCTCAACCTCGCTATTTATAAAGCTGGCCTTTATTTAACGAAATATACCCCCATCGGCGATACTCGTACAGCTTCTACCCTGACCATGGCGGCCTACACCCCCTCAAACGACATCCCATCATACGCGGACCACCGTGCCTCGGGATCTTTCGATCCCAACGTCCCGCCAAAGCCACCGCCAAAGCCACGCAGCGAAGACGTGAGCCGGCAAAGTACGCCTGTGCTGTCACAATTCCCCCATCAACCGTCCCCGCTGGGGGCCAAACCGTCCCCTCCGACGCCCGAACGGCCACTTTACGCCGAACAAGTCGGCCCTCAAGGTGCTCCACAAGCCATCCCAGACCCAGGGCCTAACTGGCTGCCAAAGATCCTAGAAGACAAATCGTATGCATTCCTTTATTCTATATGCATAAAGATCTCACCGCTAACTAGCTCAGTATTCAAGATCTCGAAGAGATTCTCCGTAAGCCCGAGCTGCTCTCAGCGACATGTCACTCCCGCGATACCGCGCACCCCTCCACCTCTGCCTCGGACGAATCACTACAAGCTGCCCTGCGCGAGAACATAGCCCTAGCATCTCATCTAAACGACGTCGAGGCCCGTCTATCGCATCTGCAGGCCTCAACACAAGCACAGCTCCTCTCCGCTCATGCACTGGAACGTCAATGGCGGCAGAAGCAATCAGATATGGACCGAGCGCTCTCCCCATTCTCGCCATCATCCCTGTACCAGCGCCTGGGCTCCGGCGTGCAGGACCAGGAGATGGTGTGCCAGGCGCTGGAAGAAAGCTTCCTGGAAGGCGATGGCGCCGTCGCTACGGAGCGCGAGATCACGGAGTGGGTGCGCCGCTATCGCGACGCGAGACGCCTCTACTACTCGCGCAGGGAGAGGAAGGAGAGGTGGGATGAGGGGAGGGTTGGGGGTTGGCGATAAGGCGTCCAGTCAGTCCAGCTACTGGAGGAAAGGAAGAAAGAGACGCAGCCAGTCGGCCCGTTTGGGACGCTCAGGTGAGCATATCTGCAACAGACTACTACGCTACGGACGCCGGGTTGGCGCGGCTTCTTATTACCTGCGTCCGCTCCTAGCTCTAATTTGATGGCCGGCCTTAACACTCTATTTCGAGACGGGGAGCCCGTTCGAGTCACCCGTTTCGTAGGCTCGTGAGGCCTGTACTGTAGGTGATGTCGTCGCTTTGTGTGGGAGCTGGCGGTGACGACGGCGCGCTCGCGATGCATGATGCAAGGCAGGCGCTCTAGAGAAGACAGGCTATATTGGGCAAACGCAACCCAAAGCTGGGGGGGATATGGCGATGTTACACACGTTATTGGATAAATAGGTCACGACGGAAGCAAGCCGACGGAAACTCAACGGCGAGCGACAGGCGGAGACAAATATAATCACACCCCCAAGAGGGGCGATCATCCCAATTAGACTTCTCGTCCGTGAGATCTGCCGACGTTAATGGCTGTGTTCCAAGGCACACCTTTAGCATCTCCGGTGTCAATGACTGCCTTCTTGGCTATATCGACCTCGTATTACTACATGAAATAACCATCGATCACCATCGCGCGAACTGCATATTTTTCGTTTCAAACAGAGCAACCAGCCAGCCATAAATCGTAGATTTAGTTTTAGCACAGCTCATTTTGGCGTATTTACCGGCCTTCCAAGTTCGGCAGTTGGTCAGTGTTAGCTTGTTTGTTTTGAAACGTTCCTCCCTGTTCTCCTCCGCTGCGCCGCTACTGGCGACGATCCCAAGCACATCCAGTCGCGATTTGGATAGTATAAGTAGCATCCGCGCCCGCAAACACACGCAGAAAGTGGGAATTTTATTAGGAATAGAAAAGGGAAACACAAGAGTTCCCGATTTTCCCGAGATCAAGAGAATTTCCAATTCCACTCGATGACGAGGGAGACCCCTTCAAACGAAACGACGGCGCACAGAAATTTGTGTTTGTTTATTGTGTTTGCTGCTCGCATTCCCTCGTGCACCTCCAGTCCAGTCCCCGTGCCCAGTCCCGTGCCTCGGCAATCTCATAAATCATAAATAGATCCATTTGTTTTGTCTGGTTGTTTGGTACAGGTTACGTATATTTCCCCCATACAGATTTCTCACATCATCATTCCTTTCCACCCATCGGGTTCACGATATGCAAATCGGGAAGACCAAAAACCTGCTGTTTGCCCATAGTAACAGTGTTCGGGCACGTTACCCCGCTTATGTGAGGTCTTACAATCTGGATAATGGAGGCTGGCAGATACGAGGCTCTGCGTGACGCGCTCTATTCCCTATGAACCACTATATCCGCCGATCCTGATTCAACATGCGCTTAGAATACGAGAAATGTAACCGCAAGCTGCGGCGATGATGCTATTATTGTGGTCTCTGTTTATCCCCTTTGCCTTCATAAATAGATAGCGGCGGTAGGTGTTTGCTTTCTGCTCTGCATCAGTTCTCGATCTCGTAGTAATCAGTCGTCGTTGTTCACTTTCTATAACTCATATTTCTTGAACTCTCTCGAGACTCGCATTCCCAGCTGTGATCAACTCCCCCCACCTCAACATGCTCTTTACCCGCGTCGCGACCCTCCTCGCGGTCCTCGGCGTTGCAGCCGCAGCTCCCCCCACAGGCAACCCCACGAAGCCATACCGCCTAAAGACCACCGTCGTCAGCGGCGATGCCACCAAGAACAACCTCTACGGTATGTCCACCCGTCCCCCTCCCAACAGCGACAAGTCCAGACCCCCTAACAACCTCCCAGTGCAATCATACCACACCGGCGCAGGCCTGAACGACGTAGCCCTCGTCTCCGAGGGTGGCTCGGCCGCCTTCCTCAACGGAACGTACCAACAGTTCGACCTCTCCGGCTCCACATTCCCTAGCGGCCTCAAGCTTGCCTACAACCAATACTACACCCGGTGGTGAGTGCCCCGAACATTCCCCTCCATGGGGCCTCGAGTGTCGGTGACTGATGATCAACTAGGTTGGATACGCAAATCAACGCCGGCTACGGCGATGAGGGGTTCTCGTTCAATGGTAGCGGTTTGATCTCTAGTAACCCGCAGTTTCAGGGGTGGTTGGGTACGTCGAACCGGACTTCGAATGAGATGTGTATAAGGCTGACTGAGTGGTTTTAGTGTGCGACTGGTATCACGGTGTTCCGCAGCTGTTCTGGCAGTACTACTACGCCGATATCGAGCTCCCAAGCAGTTGTGCTAAGGTGGAGCTTCACCGTGCTAATCTTGCTTAGTTGTGGGCAGTAGTGAGATGAGGGTTGAGGGCATCGTAGTAATGAGCATCTAGCATAGCATAATGTCGAGCCATAATGTTGAACTTATCTGTTCATTCGTATCACTTTGTTGTAGCCTTCGAGCAGCCGTGACCATGTTTTGATACCCTCGACGGGGTTCTGGTGGTAGACCTTTGTCTAACAACCTCAATTGTAGTGAAAATAAGCTTTTAATGGATCCATTACTGTAACATGAATAATCAGAACTGATGCAAACTTCGTATAGAATTTATATGTTTATATAAGCCAAAATAGGCTCCATTGATGACAAGGGTCCTTGGGGTTTAAACTCCTCGAATTGGGTTAGAGGCACCCGTAATCGGTTATCGCCTCTATCAAAGCCAGCCAAGCCAGAGCTCACTCAGAGCTCCCAGCTCCAAACCCACGACGACACTCCCCCATCAGCGGCCACTCCTTCCTCTCCTCCCCTCCCCAACCCTAGCAGCTGGAGAGCTACCACCCGTCACCCATACCCTCACCCACACCGCGGCCGCCAAAATGGCGAACACAACCAAATACCTCCTCCTCTCCCTCCCAACCTCGATCGCGCCATCCAACGACCAGGCCGACGCCCTCTCCGCCCTCCGCTCCACCGTCGGCGACAACGGCGCCGTCGCCCCCTTCAAGGTCCCGCACTTCAAGATCGGCACGCTCGATGCGCTGGTGCAGCAGGCGGATGATTTGGGGAAGCTGGAAAGCGCTTGCGAGGGCGTCGTGGCCAAGATGGGAGATACGCTGAGGACGATTTTGGATGGTGATGATGCGAAGATTGGGCAGCAGAAGACGGTGAATGATAGTATGGATTTCCCCCCTGTGGTGGTTGGGTTGGTGGGGGGTTGTACTGATTTGGGACAGAGCCGGCGGATCAGTATTTGGGGAACTTTACGTGGAATACGGTGAAGTACCGTTCGGATAAGCCGTTGAGGGAGTTGATTGACTCGTTGCAGAAGGTACGTGAGTTGGATTGATGGCGTGGACACTAGGGCTGACGGGTTGGTGTAGGATCTGCTCAGTGTCGACAATGATGTGAAGAGCAAGTACACGCAGTACAACTCTATCAAGACAACGCTCACCACTTTACAAAGAAAGCAGACGTAAGACTTCCCGACAAAGTATCGTCTTTGCAACAACAGCTAACATCTCGCACAGCGGCAACCTGGCTACGAAATCGCTCACGCCCGTCGTGGACCCAAAGCTCCTGATCCAGGACTCCGAATTCCTCGAGACGCACCTAATCGTCGTCCCAAACCTAGCCAAGAAAGACTTCCTGCGCAGCTACGAGACCATATCGCAGATGGTGGTTCCGCGATCGGCGGTGGAGGTAGCGCAAGACGAAGAACTGACGCTGTACACGGTGACGGTATTCAAGAAGTTCGCCGCTGAGTTCGTGCAAAAGTGCCGCGAGCAGCGCTGGACGCCGCGCGATTACAAGTATGTTGAGGGCGGCCGCGAGGAGGAGAAGAAGGAGATTGAAAGGGTTAGTAAGGATGAGAGGAAGGTGTGGGGGGAGGTGTTGAGGTTGGCGAGGATGGGGTGGAGTGAGAGTGTTATGATTTGGATTCATGTGCTGTGTCTGCGTGTGTTTGTCGAGACGGTCCTGAGATACGGATTGCCCCTTGAGTTTGTCTCGGCCCTAGTCAAGGTACGTCCTCCACTGGCAGATGTCTTCTATATTCCCCCCATCCAGGTACTAACGTCTATCAGACCAATCCAAAACTGGCAAAGAAAGCAAGGACGAATCTAGATTCCACCTACTCGTATCTAGGGGGCAACGCATTCGGCAGGGACAAGAAGGGACGAGTCACCAAGGACGACTCAACACTGTCCTCAGAAATGAGTGCATTAGGCGTGGGTGGACATGGCGAGGGCAACGAGTACACAGCATACGTCTGCTACGAGTTTGAGGTCATATAGATATAAACCAACCACCATACCCCTTTGGATGGGATCACGAAAGCAAGCATTGTACTGTACGAATCACGCGCCAGCGGCACCAAAATGAAACACTAAAAAAAGTATATTTTACTTTCTAGATCCATCATCGTAATCATAAATATCTCCCTACATCCCTCCCCTAGTTTTTCAGCGCAGCCGCCGGCAGCAGGTTCTTCGACTTCAGGTACTCCACAATCTGCACCACCGCATCCTCGACACTGACCTTGTCAGAGCGGATGTGGATCTCCGGCGCCTCTGGAGCCTCGTAAGGCGCAGAGATACCGGTGAAGTCCTTGATTATGCCCGCGCGTGCCTTCTTGTACAGGCCCTTGGGGTCGCGCTGCTCGGCAACCTCGATGGGGATGTCGACGTACACCTCGATGAAGGGGATTGGCTCGTCGCCATCCGCAACGGTGGCGTGCAGGTCGCGGGCGATCTTGCGGTCGGCCTTGTAGGGCGAGATGAAAGATGTGAGAGTCGCCGTCGAGGCATCGGCGAAGAGCTTCGCGACCTATAAACACAGACGGCAAGTTAGCCCACGTGCCCTCGTATACGCCCCTCCCTTCCCCCACGTATGAACAAACGGGCATTCTTACCTCTGCAATTCTGCGAATGTTCTCGTTCCTGTCCGCCTCCGAGAAGCCCAGATCCTTGTTCAGCCCAAAGCGCACATTGTCGCCATCCAGACGGTACGCGCCCACACCAAGGTGCAAAAGGTGCTGCTCGAGCGCCGTCGCAATGGTAGACTTTCCGGACGCAGAGAGACCAGTGAACCAGATCGTGTATCCGCGCTGTCCGCGGAGCGTCTCACGCTCGCTGCGGCGGAGGGACTCGTGCCAGGTGATGTTGCTGTTGAGGATGTCAGTTGTGGTTTTTGTTTGCGGAGCCTTGTTGGCGGGGTCGAGTGGCGGGGTAGGGGAGGGAGGGGTGTGGTGCATACGTTGCCATTTTTTCAAGGTGAGGGCTTTTGGGCGGGATGATTGGGGTTTTGGGGTCGGAGTTGATGGGTGAAGGGCCTGGCGATGCGAAACTCCTTTTAAGTAAATTGATATTAAGAAGGAAGATCTGTTTCAATGTCGGTGGCCGCGCGGGTTTCAAGAAAAAGCAAACAGCGGTTTTCGGAGTTTGGTTCCTGTACCTTTTAGCGGGCGATGACGCCTTATCAGGGGCCCACTCTATAACTCATCTCGCCGAACAAAAAGATTCATTTTTTTAAAAAATGACTTGATAACAATCAACCATTTCATATTCCCCCTAAACAATTAATATCGTTGATGATCTAACGATCATTTGGACGATTCACAATCTTGGTGCATCCGAGTTCGTATTTCCTGGATGCTGTTTGTAGTTTTCGTGATTTCGGTTCCCAAAATCGGAGGGTTGTTTTCCCGCTCACCACGATTCATGCCTAAGAAACGAGATCAACATTCCTGTTGTTGTTAGCTTCCGGACAACCAGAAACTATTTTCCGGCTCTTAACTTACTTTATGCGTTTTATATCGTTTCCCCTTTCCCATTTTCCTAGATTCACGAAACGGTTTCCTTAGCCTAGAATGTAAGTCTAACAGTATATTTTTCCTTCTTTAGATGCATACTTAGGTAGTTTGTAGTGGCCTTGCTATGCATACCATACTAGGGACATTACTATGCTCATCTGGAGCTAAGTATATGAACTCCCTTTCAATCTCTTTTCTCTCCTATTTACATTATATTTTACTATGTCTATTATTTTATTTCTTAATTAAGACTTTTTCGCCCCTTTAATCCCTATTATATCTAATCATTTTGGTCTCAGAGTTTTAGCAGTGCTAGAATCAGAGAACCAAAGTTGCTAAAACTTCCTTATTCGACGTACCCCACACTCATCCTCATACCTCAAATTCACATGATTAGACAAGATGAGTAGTTTGCTCTCTCGCCCTAACATTTCCCTACACAAAGAAACTGCTGTGGAAGTAGAGCCGCCTGCCTTTCCCAGAGTACGGGTACATGTCGACCCCACACTACGTATACCTATACCTATACGTGGTGTGGGGTCGACAGGTACTCCACATTTTACTTAGGGTAAGGTGGGGTAATTATTTTGAGGTTGGAAGGAGTAAGGGAGGACAGCAGTACTAAGCACAGCAGATACAATAGTAGCTCTTAGCCCTCCTGGCGTAAAGAGCGAAAAATGAGGCGAGCAAGGACCTAATGGTAGATAAAAACATATTTGCCACGTCCGTCGTCCTCCGTCTCGCGTTCATCACTCCTCCCTCTCCCTCTTTAATATATTATCATACGTCGTCGTCGTCCTACTCCTTGGACAACGACAACGACAATGGCAATGGCAAATATCGCACTCTACATCTATTCTGCGGTGGCCGCGGCTGTGCTGTATCTGGTGCAATATGTAATCCGCGACAAGATCCGCATGTCGAAGTACAAGCTACCGCCGCTGATACCAGGCGGCCTGCCAGTAGTCGGGAATACATTCCAAGTGCCGCCAACGCAGCAGGGCCCATGGGCAAAGGATTTGGCGGAGAAGTACGGTGAGATGTGAGTTTTGCCTATCCCAACCACTCCCGAAATATCGTTCCAGGCGCGAGTGACAATGTAGTAACAGGTCGGCAGGTTCACACTCAAGATCGGCGGCTCTACCTGGGTCTTCCTTAACTCCTCGCGCGTCGTCACGGACCTCATGGAGCGCCGCGCCGCCATCTACTGCTCCCGCCCACCTTTCCCCATGACGCAGGACATCATGTCCGGCGGCGGACGCATCGTGCTCATGCCATACAACAATGACTGGCGCCGGCTCCGCAAGATCATGCATCAAATTCTCTCGTCCCGTCAGGAGGAGGTCTACAAGCCGTATCAAGATCTTGAGTCTCGCCACCTCTGCTGGGATTATCTGCACAACGCTGATAAGTGGTTTTCTGCAAACGGGCGGTATGCGAATAGTGTGATTATGTCCGTGGTTTTCGGGACGAGGTCTGACTTAGATAATCCGGATGTGGTAGAGCTGTTCGAGACGATAGAGCTATTTTTAGAGAATCAGCAACCAGGCGCGAATATTGTAGATGGGTTCCCAGGGTTGGCGAAGATTATTCCGGATAGACTACAGTGGTGGCGGCCGAAAGGTGAGCGGATATTTAAGAAGACCACTGAGTAAGTTCTTCCCCACCCTACAACTCCCCAAGCCTCCCCTTCACTCTCTTTTAAAATCAAGCCCGTATGTATGCATTAACGTTGACATTCAACCTAGCGTCTACCGCCGCGCTCTTGACAGGGTCATCCGCAACACCGCCAACGGTACCCAGAAGGATTGCTTTGCGATGGAATTCCTCAAGATCTCCCAAAAGGAAAACTTCACCGAGACACAAAACCTCTTCTGTCTTGGCACGCTCATGGAGGCCGGCTCCGATACATCGCGCGTCTCCATCGGCCAGATCATCGCTGGCGCCGCCACATACCCTGATTGGGTTGCCCGCGCTCGCGCCGAGCTCGACGCCGTCTGCGGCCACAACGCGGAGCGCTTGCCCGGGTGGGAGGACCGCGACAAGTTACCGTACATTGCGGCGGTCGTGAAGGAGGGCTTCCGCTGGCGCCCGAATACTGCCGAGATTGGCGCGCCGACAAGCTTGATTCAGGACGACGAGTATGAGGGCTATAAATTCCCGAAGGGGACGGTGTTTACCTGGAACGCGTGGGCGATCGCGCTAAGTGACAAGGAGTACCCGCAGGCGGAGCGGTTCTGGCCGGAGCGCTTCCTAAACGCGGACTTGAACAATCCTCTCAAGGGCCATTGGGCGTTTGGGCCGGGCAGGAGAGTGTGCGTGGGCTGGAAAGTCGGGGAGATGAACGTGTGGATTGCGATTGCGCGACTGCTGTACTGCTTTGACTTTACGGAGGACCCAGTAAGTATCCACTCCCACTCTTCTTGATGTGCCGTCTTCTAATGGCGAAAGTAGAATCACAAGATCGACACGATGACCATACCGCAAATCACACACAACACCGCGCCATTCCACGTAAAGGTTACGCCGCGAAGCGCGGCGCATGCAGCGCTTGTAGAGAGGGAGTGTGCAGAGGCTGTGACGACGAAGTATTAGATAGTTGTTAGGTAGGTTAAGAATAAGGGAAAAATGTAACAAATTAACAGCCAAAGGGTAAAAAGTCAACTAGTGGTGTAGGTATGGCATAAGATGGCGTAAGGAAAGATTATAGATATACGAATATAAAGACATAATTAACATACTTTATAAGCTGCTATTACTTACTACCTACTATTCCAGTAAATAATAGCAACTCTTTGACATTGAAAAGGTAAAGGCTAGATTATATATATAACCTTTGGATTCCATATAGTAATAATCTAGAGTAGTAGATTCTTTAATTACTTTTATTAGCTATATTTAATACGTCCCTAAACCTCATAGGAGAGTAGCTAAAGGGTAGTTTAACTCTACCATTAAAGCTCCTAGTGGCAATGCACATCTCCTACCCACTACGGTAAAATAAAAACAACGATAATGCTTCATGATGGTGGCATAGCTAGGGTCCAAAGCTCATCGCGTGTACAAAGAGCTCTAGTCTGGAATCAGCTAGTGGTTTCCTCTTGGGTCCGTCTCGGGAATCGGATCGTAGTTCACGGGAAGATGGAAAGCACAGGGGGCACATGCAGCCTCCTTCTTTCAGCTGCAAGTGACAACGCATGCTCAATAGGGGCTTCTGTTCCGTTGTGCCAAGAGAGTGATTACGAGGCCCGGAGATTCTCAGAGGATTTTGGCTCCAGATCCTCGTATCCAGAAGTCGGGCTGAAGGGCGTGGGCCTCGTAGGAGCGCAAATGGATCTTAGCCTGAACCCCTGCATCCCCCTTCAGTCGCAGGTTCTGACGGAAGGGGCTTGAATGACAGCCTGTAATGTGGATACTCGCAATATGTATCGAAAAGCTGTGGTGTTTCTTACAAGGGAACGACTGTAGGTGGTCCGTGCATTGGAATCCTACAACACCTATATTTACATGGCAATCTAACTTCATGGAGCTTCTATCTCTAACAGCAGAATTAGGCATCCATTTTTTGTCTATACTGTAACCGCCTGCAACACCTATATTTGCATGTGTTGTAAAATACAGACTAGCTTTGACCTGTCAAAGTGTGGGCGCTCCACTTTTGCCTGCACCACTGGTTGAACAACATGGCAATCTTAACTTCATGCAGCTTCTATCTCCAACAGGAGAAATAGGCAACCATTTTTTGTCTGTAATGTAAGCGATTGTAGACACTACCCATACCCGAATTCAAGAGACCGTAGACACTTAGAAGAACGTGAATCCCAATTCGAACTGAGGTTTCTCGTTTTCAAAAGTTATACTTTCAAAGTGTTTTGTTTGTGAAATAGGTCTTGATGGAGTAGGCCAATCGCTATTGTATCACCATTTTCCAATCAGTCACCTTGATCCTGACAAAACAAAGCCCGACACGCTCTTTCCACCGAGGGTTCTTGGCATTTTTCAGGGGCTAAAGCCTCCATATTTTCCCCAGTCGAAAGCTATTCACTTCACCATGGCGCGCCAACCAATTCAATGGCGGAGGATATCCTGTCAAACCATTGCTCTTGTCCAGAAGAATTTTCTTATCTTTTACACCTCGCCAACCTCAACGGTTATTAGGTCCTTGATCTTCCCGCTCATTATCACCCTCGTTCTCTGTTACTTGAAATACCTCAAGAGAATTGCCTCGTCGGCTGAGGACTATGGAATCGCCACCAGCTCAACCCCCATCAAAGATCTCGCAGATGCGATGAATGGTGTCTCCAAACAAAAGCTAGTCTTTGTACTGAATGGCACCACCAGCGAGGATGTCGAGCCTGTTTTGAACGGGATATTGGCACTACCTGGCATGCAAAATATGAATATTGAGATCATTAATGACGGCAATAGTCTCTACGATGCTTGCAAGCAAACCCTCAAAGGTCAGAGCGAATGCTATGGAGGGGTGATCTTTTCTGTTTTTAATGAAACGAATGTCGAATATAGCATCGTTCTCGATGCGTCCTTTGGCCAGGAATGGGGTTTTATGAATTGGCGAAACGGTGAAAATACTCTTACCAACCGAGTACTTCCACTTCAGTGGGCGCTCAGCTCTGTGATTGTAAGTGCATTCTCCGGTACATTCATTAACAGATCTACCATGGAAACTATGGGTTCTCTATCAGACAATTGTTGCTAGAATAGTGCTGACTCGGAACTCTATTAGGGAGAGTACCCCTTGGTAGCAAAACCATCGACTCAGGCATGGGCGGGATACTTTGGCCCTAATAAATACGACTTTGGATCGAGTACTTTCGGTGTTGATAGCAGCAACAATTCGGAAGAGTCCGCATTTTGGCTCGCAATAGTTGCGAGTTTTGCGGCTCCTCTCTTTTTCCTCATACTCATTGGAGTTGTTTATCACCTAGCAACATTTGTTGCAATTGAGCGAGAGACATCAATGGCTGAGTTAATGGCAGCACAAGGAGTCAGCATAGCACCAAGGATCTTATCAACGTTCTTATCATTCTTCAGCTTGTACTTTCCTGGTTTTTTGTTGAGTTCAATAATCATGACACAAGTACTGGTATGCATATTCTCTGACAAAACTCTCCGTATATTCATATCCTCGTGACTACACATACTAATAATAAATATTTTAGTTCACTAGAACCTCAGATATTCTCATGATATTCCTTAGTTTACTCGCCGGAGTATCCTTAATCATGGGATCTCACTTCCTCGGCTCCTTTTTCGGCAAAGCCAATCTCGCTGGCCTGTACTCGTCTACATTATCTTTTGCACTTGCCCTAATCACCTTAGCAGCAACGTTGACGGTCAGAGAACCAACGGCGCAGATTACGGCACTCGCACTCTTATTTCCTCCTGCTACATGGGCTACTCTAATTGAGGACGTGGCACTTCGCGAGGCAGGTCTTAGGGCATTCTCTCTCAATAGGATGCCCAAGGACCCAGAAAATCTCACCAAAAAAGTTCAATATCTCGACGGCTACCTCTACATTGTGTTCTTTATTGTGCAGATCGTCGCCTTTTCGTTTGGCACCTATCTCGTCGAGAGAAATCTTTGGGGTGTTACTAGAAACTTCGAACGCATCGAAGCTAGTTCTGATGTTGCTGTACGTTGCACGAAGCTTTCAAAGACCTACCTTGGGAAGCGGCGCTGGTACTGGCCTTTCTCCAGGAAAGGGAAGACAGTAGTTGCTGTTGACAAGTTTGACCTAGAAGTGAGAAAGGGATCCGTGACATTCCTTCTAGGTCCTAATGGTGGTGGAAAAACTACGACTCTTAAATGTATCGCAGGTATGGTGTCGATGGACACAGGCTCCCAACTAGAACTCAATGAGGCTGGTGTCAGCTTTGGTGTTTGCCCACAAGCCAACGTTTTTTGGCAAGGTCTCACAGTCCAGCAACATATTAAGATATGGAGAAAACTAAAGACAGCTGCCGACGAGGATACTGCTGCAGACGATGATGACGTGGTTGCTGAGTGTGACCTATTGGAGAAGGTTAATGCACCTGCTAGGACTCTCAGTGGGGGCCAAATGCGCAAACTACAGCTTGCTATCTCTTTCGTCGGTGGTTCGAAAGTTTGCTGTATTGATGAAGCTTCGAGCGGCTTAGTATGTCTTAACTCCCTTTCTACCCCCCGATTAACTAACACTTCATAGGACCCATTGTCTCGGCGAAATATTTGGAATATTATCCAAAAAGGTCATTCCCGGCGCACTGTGATTGTAACAACCCACTTTCTCGATGAGGTATGTTAGTCGCAATTAAACCCACTCAAATTGCTAAACTCTATTAGGCGGATATATTAGCAGACCATATCGCAATAATTTACAAGGGCAAGTTAGTCTGTGAAGGCCCTGCGACTTCTTTGAAAGCTTCCTTTGGTAATGGCTACGTGATTCGAAGCTCCAATGCCTCAGATGACAACAGCATGGTATACCAAATGTCTAATTCGGCGGAGTCCACCACAAAACTCCTCGAACTAGAGGGTATGGACAACGACAATACATATGATGTAGTCTTTCCGACTCTTGAGCAAGTATTCCTCAAAGTCACTTCGGATACAGCTATTCATTCCCATGGCGGTGATGGCTTTGTGGGCGACGAAGAAACAAGCACGGTGATTGGTGAGAAGATATATGCCCTTGAGAATAGGGAGGCAATCGATATTAACCTAGAGGTGGCCCAAACTATCGGGTTCGTACGTCAAGTCCAAGCTCTGTTTATGAAACGGTACACACTACTACAGCAGAAGGCAGGTTGGATCAGCTATGGGATCAATTTGATCATAGTGATCATAATTACAGCAGCTTTGGCGAAGTTTCACTACGATTTTGAACCGCTTCAAACATGTCAGGAGAGCCGCGACATGTTCAGAAATCCAGACGGTATACACATTAAGGACAACGAGTACGACGTTTATTACCCTGTATTACGTCCACCTATTTTGACAGCTCTCTATTCATATTCTGGCCAAGCTGTGGCGTTGCTGGCGCCTCCAACTGCTTGGTCAGGGTCTACTCAAGATGAACTTTACAAGTCTGTCATCGGCCCACTCGTTGTCCAAGGTTCTTCTCAGATTCAGGGCTCATATGTTGATGGACAATATCAAGAGGGGAGGCTTAATGACACTGAGATCAATGATTTGATTTCCTCATCCCGACAATTATTTGTTGGCCTAGATGACATCGTGACGCAGATCACGAACTATTCTGGGCATTCTTACTCTGGGTTCGGCATATACTCACCAACACCCGAGACGGCCACACTTCTCTATTTGAGTGAAGGGTCGATTTATTCACTCAAACAGTATTCGGAAATTTTCAATCTCATCACAAATAGAATTTCGAACTCATCCACCTCAGCCGGAACGGCAAGAGACATAACTGCCAGCCTTCGGAATATGCGCTCGCCTAGCAATAAGGTTAATTCCTTAAGCCTCCCAATTTCGGCTCTGATTATTCTAGCATTTATTTGCGCGACTAGTATATCAGTAAGTTGCCAGAACCACCTTTCATACTGCCAAATTGAAGTCAATTCCCTAACCCAGACACATCATAATCTGATAATTTATTTCAGAAGGCAAGACTAACTATTAATAGGCGATTTATCCCGTGTATGAGAGAGTCAACAACGTCCGGGCCTTGCATTATGGTAATGGAGTTTCTCCTGCTGCTCTGTGGCTTGGCTACCTTCTTTTTGATGCCCAATTTATCTTCGTCCAGTCGGTCTTTGCTTGGGGATTGCTCTTCGCCGGACCACTATCTAAACTCTACTTTGAATCTGGATATATTTTTGGGATCTTTATACTGTTCGGTATTGCCACCTATTTAGGGTCATACCTTATCTCACTCTTTGTCAAGAAGGCAGCTTTCGCTGTTGCAGCAGGGATACACATATTCCTGTTCGTTATCTATTTTGTTGGGTACATTGTCAATCAGGCAGCAGGCAATCGTTGGACAATGCATGAAACATACTCTGCCTTGCAGTACGGGCTTGGATTATCGTCTCCAGCTGCCAATCTTGCACGAGCACTGTGGATTGCATCAAACACCTTCGAGATCTTGTGTGGCAAATATGGAGACCAAGAAGGGTCTTCTAGCCCGGGATCATATGAGCGTTACGGCAGCCCTTACGTCAACCTTATTATCCAGATTCTCTTCCTTATTACAACCATAGGAATATATGAATATGGAAGTGCGGATTGGCTTCGCCGCAAAGTTAAGCCTTCCCGTCTTCACTACATTGTCGACTCTGGCGATGGACCGGTAACTGCACCATCTGAGGTTGAAAAGAATGGCAGGGTAGCCACAGCAGCGTCACCAGAGCTCCTCAATGTGTCTCGCGTCAGCAAATTCTTCGGCAAGATTTCCGCAGTTGAGAACGCCTCTTTCAATATATCGTCAAATGAGACACTTGCACTCTTAGGAGGAAATGGTGCTGGCAAGACAACAGTTATCAACATGATTCGTGGTGAACTCAGACCAAGCTTCGGTGACATCTACATAGATGGCGTATCCGTTCTTCGAAACCCACACAAAGCCCGCAGGCAAATTGGAGTCTGTCCCCAAGATGATGCCGTTGACAATTTGACTGTAAGGCAAACACTCAATTTTTACGCTACTGTCAAGGGTCTCAAGGACGTTAGCGGAAATGTTGAAAAGGTTCTCAGTGCGCTTAATATTAGCTCTTTTGAAACAACGACGGTCACGGCACTGAGCGGTGGCACGAGAAGAAAGTTATCAGTTGCCATTGCACTACTTGGTAATCCACGAGTCCTCCTACTCGACGAACCATCGACCGGTCAAGACGCAGGCGCAAAGCGAATTCTCTGGAAAGCGCTCCAGGAAATCTCTAACAATCGCGCCATCCTTCTCACCACCCACAGCATGGAAGAGGCCGAAGCGCTGGCAACAAATGTAGCAATCATGGGGACCAGGATGCTTGCAACAGGAACGCTTGCCTCGCTCCAGGAATCCCACGGAGGCGCATATAGTATCCGGGCCATGCGTGAGCAAGGCACCGACGTTGCAGAGGTGGAAGAGACCATCAAGAAGAGCTTTGATGGCATGGTTTCTAACTTTATAGAGAGCTGTGGACAGATTAGATTTAATCTCCCTCATGACAGGTCGGCGCTAGGAAGTATCATGAGGATCATGGAGGGTTTAAAGGGTAATGTTGTAGAAGATCAGGAACAGGCAACAAGAACCCATGTGGGCGAGGGCAGTTCTACAGAATATAACCAGAGTAGTAGGAAGCTGTTGAGCGATTATACGATTACGGGACCTACGCTCGAGGAAGTATTCATGAATGTCGCCAAGGAATCAAGGGTTTCTGGGGATGTCTGATATTTATTCTCTTTTTTTGGTGGAGGATCTCTTGAGCTTTGAGAGGAGTTCGATAAGTGTTTGTGCTTTTAGTCTAGATACCTTTGAAGCTTATAATCTCTCAAAGAAACTACTAGCTGTCTGGCAACTGTGAAGACTAAATGTGAAGCTGTGCAAATACAATGGAGCCGCTCTAGGAATGCACCAGCAAGTTATCCCTTCTCGAGAATGGCAAGAATTTCAGGGCGAGCTAGTTAGTCTGTACTAAGCAGTGCAAAGACAGTTCTTGCCCTTGTCATCTTTCTCTCGTCCTCCTTCTACCTCCTCGTCCCTTCTCGGTTTCTTCCCTGCCGCTTAACCCTTAATCTAGTAGCCGTCGATTTGGGTCGAGTTCTCACCATGTGGCACTAGTTCTTAGTTCCTATTATGGATTTAAACACAGTCGCCGTCTCCTAGATGACTATCCATCCAGTTAACAAGCGTTTCCTCCGACTTGCAAGGTTTATTAATACGCAGGAACCGATTCATTAGCATGTGCACATGGGCTTCACCGGGGAAGTCCAACACGGTTGTTTTCGCATGGCCAGCCTATATGCAGCGTGAGTACTGTAACAAATGTGCTCCAGAGAACACCAGCATGCACTTACTCGCAGTCTCTCACAGAATATGAGAGTATCGTCACGCAGTAGTTCATCGTGTCCATATAGGACGAGGATGTCATCTACCAGCAAATCCCCCCACCACTCCTCTGGCGCCATAGTTGGCGTATTCCAGGAGTCATAATCCGCGCCGCCTAAGAAATTCTGTGCCCAGTATTCGAGGGAACTGGCGCTTAGCACGTCCTTATCTTTGTTGAGCTGCATTGACGCCGCAGACGTATCCATGGTGACCCACGGCGAAACGAGGACGGCGCCGGATAATCTGCCCGAGAATTTGAGCGGTGTCACCAGTGGGTTTGGATGGCTCAGATGCAAGACGAGACTTAGTAATAGATGAGCACCAGCCGAGTCACCGAGCAGGGTAATCGAAGATGGCAATACCTTCTCCACGTGAAGGAGATGGCCGAGCAATGCAACGGCCTGTTGCAGCTGGCGTGGATAGCGATTGGCGCTCTCACAGGCGAGATCTGCGAGGTGAGGGAATTGGCATCGTTGAATCAAACTTGATCTAGGCAGAATTGCTAGGGGGTGGCTGGGTGAGGTACTTACTATATGACAAAACCACAACTGCAGCGTCTCGTCGAGAGGGATCCGACATGCCGAATGCGAGCGAGACATGCTCGCTGAGCGCCGGCGACATGTAGCCACCGCCATGGAAGAGGACTACGACCTTGAGCGCGTTGCGGGGCCCGAGCCATTGGGCAGTCGTCCCGCAAGGAAGCCGAATAGTTGAGTTCGCGATCCTGTGCCTACTGGCGAATCCTTCGCAAGTCTTAGACGTCGAGGGAAGCAGGTTTTGGATAGCGACTGCATCTAGACCGCACTGGTAGTCGCGCATTCCTTGGTATGCGATGTACTGGTGGAAAGTCAAGCCATTCTTCTGGTCACGTCGGCCTGCCTTTGCGGCTTTCAACATGAGTCGGAAAGCTAGTGTGTTAGTGATGGGTCACATTCTCCTGTCCAGTACTTACTTATCGCGGTCGCCTTTGAGAGGAGAACAATCCATTCCCATAATGTGGCGGAATATGCATGTTCCCCTACGTCAACACGCACGGTCATGTTATGGTCACGATTTTTGGCGCTGGCGAGGAAGGAAGTGATGCTGTAGACTTGATATGTTGATATGGTAATGGACTAGCACCCCAAAGGTAATCAATCGTTTTTATTCTGTAAGGTATGATTACGAATACGGACGTAAGTACGCATTGAGATTGGATAGACTTGGGAGACAAATTAGGAACATGGGAAAATTCATTTGCTGACGTGAGATTGTAGGTCGCTATTAGTTCCATAGATTCCATTCAACTGCCAGGAACGCTGAATTGCTAGCCTCCCACAACCAATCAGCGACTGAAGATACGAATAAGCCATGGTCCTAATCTGTTAATTTTGGACTCGATTTCCGCCTTACTCACGTTCACCACGTACACCACGTACACCTTCCTTACTGTATCTACCTTATAGTTACAGTACGAAGTACAGTACAGTAAGCTGTACACTATAACAGTTCATTTAGGTGCGAACACGAAAAGTGGATATACACATGGATTCGGATAGGATATCCACTATACAAGGATCCGACTACTTCACAAGTTCAACCTGTAACATTACTAAGTCTAATGAGTTAAACTTACGTCAGATTCGGCGTATAGCTAATTTACATATATAAGGCTTACTAGTATCAGTTCTTCTCTAAAAATTCCATGTCTTAATGTCAACTGCACAGAAAGAACAATGGATATAATCCCAATTCCCCCAACCGACCAACAGAAGCCTATAACTAGCATCCGCACGCGGACCTTCTTCGTTTTGAATGATCACCTCGACGAAGAGATTCTCAGGAATTCCTTAGATACCCTCATTCGCGACCACTGGCAGAAGTTGGGTGCGAGATTTGCGCCACGAAGGGACGATGGACAGCTTGAATATCACCTCCCACTGACGTTCGATGACAATTATGCGCTGTTCAACTGGACTTCTAAGCAGTACGACCACTCTATAGAGAAAGTTCCGTCATTCCCGAGACCCACTGCTCCTGAAAAGGGAATTGCGTTACTCCCTCATATCCGCACCATAGAGGAATGGTTCAGACCGGCGGATTGGCCGCTAGACTGCGAGCGCGATGAACTGGACAAGCCCTTGATCTACGCTCAAGTGTCTCTCTTTGTGGATGCCACCGTCATCGCCCTCAGTGTGCCGCATGTGTTTGGGGATCAGCTTGGGCTAGCGAACATCATCAAGGCATGGATGGGTATAATCGGAGGCGTATCGCCACCCCCGATGGTTGGGGTCAAGAACGATATTTTCGCAAACATGAAAGACTACGCCGACTATTTACCGCAGGATGTGAAGAGAAAGGGACGAGTGGCGGTAAGGAGGTGGGGGGAGTACCCACTTGTTATATTGGGATTAATCCCCGAGCTTATTCGAGATCGGGTAGAGGACGCCTACACTGTTTTCATTCCTGTTCCGCTGGTGGAATCTCTACGTGAGCGATATGGCAAGGAATTGGCGGAGAAGTATGGTGAAAATCCTGGCATAACTAACGGCGACATCGTGTCTGGTATCCTTCTAAAGGTATGCCCTCCCACTTACGTTAATGATACTCATTGACCAGTCACTCACGATATTACTAGTTCACTCGGATGGGCTATGAGCTCCCTCAGATGCTATCGTTCTCTCAAACTGTAAACAGTAAGCTCTATTCCGCATCCAGCATCTCGAACCCATTTACTGACGCGAATGCCCCCCCTCAAAAGTCCGCGGTCGCCTCCCGCAGCTAGACCAGAACCGTGACGCTTTTGTCCACAACGCGCTAGCATACAGCACTGCCCGCTTCCCCATGAGCAAATCTACACCGCTTAGTGAGATTGCATACCATACCCGCAAAGCCATCATTGAGGCGACCGATCCACGAGACATCGGTATCAGCATCGCCGTCATGCAGGAAATGGTACGCCGCGGGCAAGGGTCCCATATCATCCGCCCATTTGAAAAGTCCTATTTCGTCACGAACTGGTCTGCCGCATGGAGGGAATTGGATTTCTCTCCTGCTGTCAAGGAGGATGAAAGGGAGCGCGATGCGGGCGCGCCCGTGAAGGCGTTTGTCTTTGGGGATAGCGGGACAGCAAGTAGGCCGCAGCGATGTAAGGACATTTGCAACATTGGCACCCCTCTGCATGTTAACCAAGGATGACTTGCTAATATTGTTTCTTATAGTCAATTCGACTGTCATGTGCAAAACTGATGAGGGGTATTGGTGTAACTTCAGCATGTCAAGGAAGGCGTCTAAATTGGTAGAGGAGTACATCGTGAAAGATCCTATGTTAGCGGGCTTCTAATTGTCTGTGGTCTCGTTTAAGCGTTTGGTTTGTATAACACTGGAGGATTTAGAATGGTAAGAGTCAGGTATGTGGGGAACGCGCCGTCGTCCAAAAAAATGAACCCGGACCGCTGTAGAAACAACTCCAGGCGGAGCCGGAGAGATCACGTCTGCAGCGTCAAAAATATGTCATCCATCGCCTGGTCCGTACGAGAATTTAAAGGTCAGAACATACGGCGGGTATTTCCGGTATTATGTGCATCCTCTTATTCATTTACGTGGCACTCAGTAAACCCCCCCACTTGCCGTATATCGTCGATCTTGGCTCACTTTCATTCTTTCGTAGCTCTCTCGGATCTCTTGACTCTCTTCGCTCTTTTGAAGATTTTTGCTCTCTTGGTCATTGATGGCTCTGGCTAATTCCTTCGATGGAGCTCAGTCTGGCATTAGACCCAACCCGTAGAAACCCAGCAAAAGGGTCGCCCATGTCACGCCACCCGTAAACAGGGGCGTGGTGGCACAAATAATAATATTTTACAGATAAATTCCTAAAAACGCTGAATATATAAATTTAGGTACATTTAATCCTTCGCTACCTTATCTCTACCGTTCTCAAGCTGCGTTGCAAGGAAGACCTCCCGCATAGCTCCATCCGTTCGTAAGTAGGTCCGTTTCCCTCCGAAGAACCAAAACAACACCGAAATTATGAGCATGACCCCAAACACGGCAATGGCATAGTTCATGTCCGCCGGAGCTGGGTTAGGTGCGCCTGGAAAAAAGAAAAAAAAAGTTGTAATACAGCAGTATACAATGCTGATCCAATTTATCAAATATCCCCAACGACCAAGCATGAATTTTCCGGGTGGAAGCTTGTCTCGGCCCACAATGACAAGCGTCAAGATTGGCATCGCATACGATATCGTGAGTGCAATGGTGCTGACACTCACGATTGCCTCCAGCACGGTATTCGAGAAGAGGTAGAGAGTGCCAATTAAGGCGGCAATGACTCCGTTCGCCCACAAAACCCGAATGGGAACCTTCCACGTCTTGTTCACATTCGAGAAGTATTGGCTCCAAGGCAACCCTCCATCGCGGGCAAAGCCCCAGGTAAGACGTGACGCCGTCGTCATGACGCTAACCCCTTGTCCCAATCCATTGATCACGAACAAAATGATCAAAGCTGCACCACCACCCTGACCAACTACGCCAGTGACCAATTGTATAAATGGCAGGTCGGAGTTGAGAATGCTGTCTAGGTCTTGGATACAGAACAAGCAAACTACCATGAAAAGTCCACCAGATACAGCGCCGGAAATAACAGCAAGGTACATGACTCGAGGCGCATTCGTTCGAGGTGAAGGGAGCTCTTCAACCATGTGAATCGCAGAATCGAAAGCTGTTAAACCATATGCTGCCTGAATGAGACCGGTGAACCATGTAATTCCATCTGGCCAGCCAGTCTGATTAACCCATGTGCCAAACACAAAAGCTCCAGACTGGAAATGCAAGTCCATGCGTGTACCAACAGAGATAAGCATAGCCAGTGAGATGACGATAAATAGGCCACCAAATTGAATAGCGACGATGTTATTGAACCATGGGAGAACAGCATCTCTCCGGCATGCAACGGCATTTACAACAGTGAACAAAATTGTGATGCCAACATAGACGACAAATTGCAGCCAACCTTTAGTACCACCTTCCCAGTCGCTGTCAAATATAGTCTTTATTGCCAGAACGAAATTTGTCATAAAAGCAATCTGCGACGCATTGAGAGCCCACCAACCGAATGTGTTTATCCACGCACACATGTACGAAATGAACCTTCCGCGTGGTGTATTAAGAAGGCGATGGATCCAATAGGCCTGCCCAAGCGCAGTGGGCATAGCGCTACACATCTCGCCCAGAGAGACGGCAACACAAAGATTGCAGAATGTGACGAGACATAGGCCCCAGAGGATGGTGATGGACCCTCCATTGGCCAAGCCGATCGCAAGATCTTGGGCGAAGACTGCCCAGGTACCCAAGACGCTGAAGGCGAGTGCGAGCATGCTCCATATGTTGAACTTTCGTATGAGCGATTGCTCATGGCCCATGGCAGCTAAATCGAGGGCATCTTGAGTGTTCTCGTCGACGTCGTCGAGGGCTTTCGTTGTGTTTTCAATATGATGATGAGTTTCAGCGCCCATGATAATGGCGGTGTTGGCGATATGGCGCCAATCCGAATGTATATGTAAGGAGATATAGTAATGTGGAATCTCAAGGTTCGTATGGAATGATGTAAACTTGTCATGCGAGAATTCAATGAATATTCGGTATAGAAAGTAATTGAAAGTAAGCAACAACCCAGAGAGGGTGGTTTCCTTATACTTTGATAGAAAGCATCAAGACGAGTGATACAGCCTCTACCATTATCAGTACCCCAGATTCCGGCGTGCGGCTTCAGGGGCCATATCGCGTTTCCCCAGATCCTGGACTATACAACGGCTACAAAGCTCGCTGATAATCTTGCAGACGTAATCTTGCAGACGAACACATCTCCTCAAATTGCTATATGTAGCGTAGTCTACATTTATAATCTGTGAAATGCAGGGTCCAGCGCAGTATTCTTATCTTGCCACTCGCATTCCGTGGTGCTCGAGTCTGACGGGTTTTAGAATTTCGGTATTCATTTTGCGTGGATTTGCGGGGAAAGCTTAGCGGAATAAAGTAACTCGAAGATAAAGAAAAAGTGGGGGCGCGCTAGAGGCGCTAGAGGCGCTATAGATGTCATATCTCCTGCAGTTACTTTATTAGGACTAGCTTAGCCATCTACGAGTCTGATTGTGGGGTAAACCACGATTGGCAGATTTTGCTTGGCTTTCCTCTCAAGAGAAATTTATTCGAGTTGACAATCTCCAACAACACTTGCGCTACTACATTCTACCCCGCCCTGCATCTCCATATATGTCTGATACCATTATCATATATACACCTGCCTATAGCGGAATAGTCTGTCTTGTACTGCTTTGTGCTCAACGGAACTCCAGATTGTGGCCAATTAGTTTATGAAAAACCGCAGATTACAAGTACGGAAAGGAACGTAGCAGTTCGGAATCATCGGAGGGAATCTTATGGAAGCTCAAATAATTCCGACCTGCTATGTTCATAAAGGAAACTCCAGCCATATCAGCCCGTCTTTGCCCTTTATCTAATATTTAGATTCCTCTTATTGGCAATTTCCTCTTTGGAAGTGTTCCCACATTAGGAAACAATGTGTTGTCTTTTCAAGGCGGTTTAATGGTAAACAGCCTCAGACTAAGTGTGGGTTAAGCACAAGTGCTAATACTTTACTTGGTATTGGTTTAGTGTGAAGTGCGCCTCGTTCTACTCATGCTCCCCTAGAAACGGAGCCCTCGAAGGAACCATGATAGGCAAGTCCTGGCGATAAATCACGTGCCATAGATTTTTGTTTGTGAATGTGGTAACATTATAAAGAGTGGCTCCATCCTCTTTTTTACGTATCTGAACTACATCATAAAATACTTACAATATGGAGACTGACACTGCATCCATTCCTGGCTATGCCATTTACCGCCAACCAGCAGATACCAAATGCTGCTCTTCAATCCCATCGACATCCACAACCAAGCCCAACCATCCCTTGGGTAATTAGATGACAACAATAGATGTTATTGAGTATACACTAACTATACCCTTTAGATCAGCTCACGGTCACTGAAATACCTGTTGTTACAAAGCTGATACGCAATCATGCAAACCCTCGGCAAATCAAGTTCAACTCGATCACGTTACGTGAGCCTCCAAAGAAGGAATATGCAGCATTCCGCTCCGCTGGAGGCCCTCGGCCAGACCGAAAGGCGATTGCAATTGTATTCGAGACAGGTTCTTCAAATTGTGCTGAAGTCATTGTCAACCTCACCCACAACAGTGTGGAAGACTGGAAACAAATGACGGATGTCATGCCTACATTGACCCTCGAAGACCTCGATTTCACCGAGAGTCTTACGCGAAGTGATCCTCGTGTGATTGAGGCATGCCGTGAGATTGGAATCACCGATATGTCAAAGGTCTATGTTGACGCATGGTCTATCGGACACGAGGAACGCTGGGGATTCGATACCCGGCTTCAGCAAGGTCTCGCATATTACCGCAGCTCAGAACACGACAACCAATACGCACATCCCCTGGACTTCAGTGTTGTCGTTGATACTGAGAAGAAGGAAATCCTGAGTGTCGACATTCGCCGAGTGAACGGAGAGAGAACTGCTGTACCCATGGACGAACACAATTATCTTCCCGAGTTCGTTAGCAATGCGTACAAACCGGAAAGATTAAAGCCAATCAATGTTACCCAACCTGAGGGAGTCTCGTTCTCTATAGACGGAAATGAGCTGTCTTGGTGTGGTTTCAGTATGCACGTTGGTTTTAACTACCGTGAAGGTATCGTTCTTTCCGACATCCGCGTTGATGATCCTTACGAAAATCGAGAGCGGACTCTCTTCAACAGGATAAGCATAGTGGAGATGGTAGTCCCCTATGGATGTCCTGAGCCACCTCATCACAGGAAACACGCTTTTGATGTCGGTGAATATGGGACGGGATTCATGACCAACTCGCTCAAGTTAGGATGTGATTGCAAGGGGGCGATCCACTATCTTGACGGAGTTATGGCAATATCTACAGGTGAGGCCGCAGTTGTCAAGAACGCCATCTGCATCCACGAAGAGGACAACGGTTTGCTCTACAAACATACAGATTTCCGTGATGGGAGAGTCATCTCAGCACGTGATAGGAAGCTCATCATTTCTCAGATCATCACAGCAGCAAATTACGAGTACGGTTTCTATCATATTTTCCATTTGGATGGCACATACCAACTTGAGGTGAAGCTAACTGGAATGCTTAATACCTATCCCCTGCATCCGTCAGAGGAAGCCGCACCATACGGTACCGAAGTTGCAAGACGCGTGACCGCCCACAACCACCAACACATCTTCTCGTTACGCATAGATTCAGAGATAGACGGTCCGAATAATACCGTGATACAGTGTGATGCTGTAGCGGCGGATGATGCTGTCGGATCGCCAGGAAATTACTACGGAAACGCTTTCTACAGCAAAAAGACTCCATTGAGAACAAGCAAAGAGGGCGCCGCACAATACTGCCACGAGACTAGCCGAACATGGGATATTGTCAACCCGAACGTCCTCCACCCTGTTGCGAAGAAACCAGTATCGTATAAAATCGTTAGTCGGGAAAGCGCCCCTCTGTTAGCCAAACCCGGGAGTATCGTTTGGAAGCGTGCAGGCTTTGCACGCAAGACTCTCTGGGTTACGCCGTATCGGGACTATGAGCTGTTCCCCGCCGGTGATTATGTCAGTCAATCACAGGGGACAATCGGACATCCACAGAATGAGACGGTAGTCGACTGGGCAGAAAGAGACGAGCCCATTGAGAACACTGACATTGTATGCTTCTTACAATTCGGTATCACGCATTTCCCCCGCACAGAGGACTTCCCTATTATGCCTGCTGAGCCAGTCAGCATAATGATGCGTGCGTCAAATTTTTTCCTCAAGAACCCCGCGTTATGGGTTCCTCCGACGACCGTTGATGCCGATACTTTGTCAAAGCTGGCTGATCCGTTGTCAAAGCTGGCTTTTTCTGAAGATGACAAGAAATAGTAGCTAGTCGCAATGTATTGCAAATTCGTTACAGTAACTATGGGTGCGAAGCCCTATATATACCACTAGCTAGTACACAGGCTAAAAATAGCGACACCAAACTCGCCTTCATCTATAAGCCTGCCGCAAAAAGAGGGCCTTGTGTGATGACCTCTGTGTCCCAAGCTTGGATTCTTGGCATGTCCTAAGCTTGGACTCTTGGCGTCTCGTAGGCTTGACTCGCAGCCTTCTCATATCTATAGTCCCAGAAATATCAAACGATCGTACACCTAACACTGCTATTAGTCTCGTGGTGGAGGTAACATGTCTTCGATGGGAATGGACGACAGCAAGCTAGGTAGTTCGCGATGAAAGCATTACGAGCAATAAAATAGCTGTGGCGGCGACATCATTAACATAAAAATACCGGAATTTTCAATGGGTTCACAAATTTAGAATCAATTAAATTCAAAGTACCGATGTCTGTCTCGTAACGGGGTGCAGATCTCGACGAGGGATGCACGTTAACTACGTTAGGTTATAAGTAAATCTCAATGCAACGCAGGTTCTTTAAGCCTCTTGGCCTCTAGCCTTTTAGACCTTCGAGGCTTATTCGGCCCTGGTTTGCTATCGTCAGACTTACTCTGACTCTAATCTGGTTTAGATTGCTTAGACACCTTTTTGTTAGATGAGGATGGCCTTCATTTCTGTCAACCTAGGGGCTGTTGTAGTAGCACCACATGGTCTCCTTAACCTCTAGGCTTCTTCCTTTCTCCTTTATATAAACAATAATATAATGACATATCAGACACTTCATAGTCTTTATGGGTTTAACAAGTAAAACTTTTTATTTAATATGCTAGAGCTAATATACGGATTCTATAGGAGAAGCCGATAAAACTCCTCCCACAGTGTTCACTTGCTCACCGTCACTCTCACACCTCTGCTGTCCCGGCGTGGCATGGGCGCTACCATGTCCAGAGCGAAGTCCACATCAGACCGATCAGTCTCAAAGAGATGCAGCTCATGACGACGGAACATGACAGCAAGCGCCACATAGAGCTCCAAGTAAGCTAGATGCATGGCAACGCATATCCTAGAGCCAGCGCCAAAAGTGGTGAGGTAGTTCGTCAATGGTTGGCGTCCATTTGGACCCTTTGGATTATCCAGCCATCGCTCTGGACGGAAGACGAATGGATCTGGGAATACATCTGCATTGATGTGCATATGGTAAGAATCCATGCCGACTGCCGTCCCGGGTGGGATGACCCATTGTCCGTATTGCATGGGGTGCAGCCTGTTGATTCTTGGGCTACGCTGCGTCGTACCGTAGCTCAAACGCAAACCTATATTATATCAGCTTCTACGCGGTGAGCCAATTATCTGACGACTCACTTTCGTTGATAACAGCGGTTAGATAGGGTAGCCTTTCAAGCTCGACCCAGCGTGGGATGATGGCAGGATCGGGTATAGCCTCCGTCAGTTCTGCCTTGAGACGGGCTCCGATAGAGGGGTTATCCAGGGCGTGGAAAATAGCGAAGGTAATGGTTGCTTTCACCGTCTCCACACCCGCCGTGGTCAGGGCCATCGCCTCCTGAGTCAGTCGGTCGGATGAGAGCTCATTAGATGGGAGCTTTGATGCGAGCATTTCATCGAAAATAGTGTCGTGATCTGAGCCGCGGAAGTCCTTCGTGCCGATGGAAGTCTTGTCCATTTCTGAGAGTATTTCACCGACCTGCTGGCCGATGCTGACCTTGAGATCCAAGATCGGTTTGATAAGAGGCACCAAAGTAGCGATAGCGGCATCTGGAAGCCGTTCAATCCACTTTATCAGAAATCTGAAGTGCGCATTCCAGTGGCTCAACCAGATGTTGTTTATGACCGTGTTAACAAGCGGCGCCTTGAAGTCTGGCGCCTCTGAACAGTTGGTGCAGCGACGGAAGCACAGTTCCGTCACTATGTCAACCGCCAGGGACGAAAACATATCGCCTATATCGAGGACGCGATTGCAGCCGGCATACTCTTTCGATAAACGCTGGGAGACCCGGTCGACGAGTTGGTTGACTCTGTCCTGAGTTTCGCGCAAGCGCTGGCGCGAAAAGAAGCCAGCCATTGCCTGTCTCCGCGAGCGGTGCAGTTCCGCCCCGGGAGTGCTGAAGATGGCATCGGGAAGACCGAAACGATCTTGCAGTTTTTCTTGCTTGTCTATAGGCCTTGCTGCGCTACTGTTGCAGTACACCTCCTGCCAGTATTCCGGGTCGTCGATGTGAAGCTCATCGGGAGCGATTCGCACGATCGGCCCGTACTTCTCATGCATGCGCTTGATTTCCAACGGGAACTGGCCCCCATGGCGCTTGGCTAATAGGTCGAAGTACTTATGATACCAGTTGGTGGCGGCGGCCAGTTTTGGCCCGGGGAATTGTGCAAGCGGACTCAGGTACAGCCGGTACACAACGAGACTAAGGGAATACAGCACGGTCAGTGTCAGGACCGTTACTGAGAGGGTCGCAAAGCCCGATATTGCGGTGGCCAGGGTCATCTGGGCCATCTTTGACGGAGTGAAGGCGGATAGAAGTCAACGTTGCAAGTGAGAACTTGGAGAGCGAAGGCACTGCAAGTTAAGTGCAAGCCCAAGCAGTACAAGATGGCACGATTTAGAGAGACACCAAACATCTTGACCACCGGGTGCCTTTACTACTCCGTAAGATCGATCGCAGTCAGCATTGGTACTAGGTGGAACTTTGGTATAGTTGCAGCGATCGGGTTGAGCAGATAAGCTCATCAATCTACTATCCCTCGCCCTGCGCACATGTCGGTGGAGACGTTGTGGCTGATTATCGACCAGGAGGCGTTTGCCAATAGGAATAAAAAACGCGACCTCCACCATAAAAACTTGGGAGCCTATTCGCACACTCCCCATGTCCCTACACGGCTGCAAAAGTCCCCCATCGATATGTGCGTAGGGTGGGGGTATAGTACAATGCAGGTAATCAAATGTGATAACGTGCTTGTTGTTTACTTGCTTACATGCCTACTGTAAAGCGACAGATCTCATCGCTTAGGCACATTAGTGGCTTGAAGCTAGCCTAGCCGTAACGCCTTACACCTTGTGTGGGCCCTTACCCTTGTGTTGGTCCCTTTCTCAGACAACCAACATCGTCTTTGTTTTCTGGGACTGCAAGTTTGATTTCAAA